GCTTTTTCTAAAAAATGCCTCAAAAACTTGAATTATTTGAATTGGAACCTGTCTAGTATATACTTAGACTTAATAATATGCTTCAGATACATTTTGAATGATTCCATACATTTGCATGTGACTTAATGAAACAGGTACATTCTTATTCAACAGATAAAATGTAAAGAAGTTTCTCATGGACAAGCATCAATTAAACGTTCAATTATCAAATTATGTTTTGCAAATAAATATAACATAACTAGGTGAGGCGTATTGCATGAAATAGTTTCATACTTTACAGGTTAGCCCCTGGCAATACACTGACAATCAAGATTTTCAATTTTGTTATACACATAGATTGACCATTTGCCAAAAAGGCCCTCATATACCAATGAAAACCATTACTCACCCTATGTAAGGACAAATTATATTAACAAAATGTCACAAATCAAGCTTCCAAATTTAATAAAACTGCCCTTTGGTAACTTGTTAATCGTCAATGGGATAATCCATCAACAGTCCGCAGGTAGGAAATCTTATTGCTTAACATAACAATTCAGCAGAAATAGCCAGTAAATTGTATTTAGTTATACAGACTCATTCAAGATTAAATACAGATTAAGTAACTGAAAATATATGAAACTTTACAAAAAGCCAGTGTGTATATGTTTGTAATCTGATTATATCAAATACAAAAAGAAATAGCCCATCACAATTTGCTAAAAAAGTGTATCCTAAATCTGAATTATACATAAATCATTGATAACTAGGATATAAAAAAAACTTTTTATAAGCAAAAATGCAAGAGCCCCCCCCTCAACCAAAGGACAAATACACCAACTTCAGTTACAAGGAGCAAGTCATATACAAATTTCTACATGTATAGATGAAACAGAACTTGACTGAAAAACATTTTATTTTCTGTCTCAACAGTTTTTTTGAAGAAATGATTCCAAAGAGAGTTGTGTTTCACATGGAATGTTGATTTCAACAAGGAATGACAACCTGGAGAATTCCAACATATGAGATCATATAGCAGTTATGCCTGGTTATGACCTTCAGTATTAGAAAGCAACTTCACACCCTTCTGTGTCTCTTTGTGCCTACATTTCCAAAGACAAACAAAAAAGGTTCATAGCTTTTTAAGCCCCTGTACTTTAATCAAGACACCAAACTCTCTTTTCTTGATTTTTGTCCTTAAAATAATACTAGAAATGCTTTTGATTTCAATGAAATGTTTTGGAATCTTCCTCAGTCAACACAATGAGCACCTTAGCTACCCAGTAATGATGACAAACATTGGATCCTAAAAACCGATTCAAAACATTTTATCAAACCACTCCAAACATTTCTCATCTATCACAAATGTTTATATCCCTAACTGAGATTGCTGAATACTTGGGGAATAAATACAAATCAAATTGATGGTTAGAGTTCAAAGTAACCAGTACAGAATTATACAGCCTCCTTAAATATTCCCCATGGTGATAGACCATCAATTTGAAGTAGAAGTAAACCACCAAGAAGGACCTCACAATATTTATCTAGATATGTGGTCCAAACATAAGTATGTAGAAAGGAAGATCTCAGACAAATACATATAACTGTAAACACCAATTTCTAATACAGGCCTCCTAGACTTCCACCAACGTGAACATCAGCTCTGACCTCGCGAACTAGGTTCCTTACACTCGAACCACAATTCTCACATCACGAACATGAAATCTTTAATCACACACCACCATTTCCTCGCTCCTGAACATATTTTTCCACTGACGCGCAATGAGATATGTGCTCGGAAAAATTTGTACATAGTGCATCGGGGTATTTGGGATTTGTTTTAGACATGCATAAATAATGGGAATAACATTACAGACTTTTTTCTATCATGTATGTGGCTCGCAAGCACAATTTCTGTGAAATACCCCAGGAGCAAGGATAACCCTATACTATGTCCTGGATAACAAAGTGGTCTTGGGTCTATCAACAAGGCATCCTGTTATATTATCATTAAAGTATATTAAATGAGGTACTCTGTTATATTACATGTAAATGTGACAAGGGATGTATGGATCATGATGACCAAAGATGTCAGTGGTGTAATTCAGATACCAACAGATAACATTCAACTTGACAATATCCTGACCATGTAAAATATTCTATTCAACTTTAAACCAGTATACAAACGTTTTTGTCTGTAAATTACCTTCTCATTTCAAAGAGCTGTTACTTCTAAAACATTTTGTATTTCCAAAGTATGACATTTTCATGAAGATAGGATGAGATCAGAATGGGTTCGCTGTATTATAATCACTTAGAAACAAAACATACCTCTCATCCTCCAAATTCTCCCATATTCCCAAATAAAGAACTTTGGGTTTTACACATATACATGTACATGTACCAGTGTTCATCAAATTCTCTTGTTCAAAATTCTAGCCTAAACTGGTCAATAATACAACATGTCTTTTTTGCATGATTTCTCTCTTTTCAAGTGTTTTTAAGATTTTCAGGAAGACACAAGCCTATTTTCAAAATTTGAATTGAGTACAGGCCCACTTGATCCTGGAGATATCACTGTATTTTTTCACAAGAAGGGTAGCAAAACAAGCTGACAGAATTCTGCATAATGATATGAATCATCCTTTTGTGTCACCTTACTCCAGGTTAAAAAAAGCTAGGTTCAAAATCCTCAAACTGCACTGAATTGAAATATACTTTAGGCACTTGAATAACACAATTATTTACTCTGTGACATCTACATAAAGCTTAACTTTGTTGAGCATGGGAAATTCAATTGAGTAAGCAATTCAATGCGTCAACAAATTCTTTTATGACTTTTTTTATTGATAAATTGAAGAATTTTTAACATACTGTATCAAGTTTAAAACACATATGTTGATACCATTACACAGAGCCATTGATGATTAAGTCATATTTCATCTTAAATTATATGGTATTTTTTTTACTTCACATAGATTATATGTGCAATAGGCCAAACTCCATCAATTTTAGATAGGTCAAAGCGAGCTATAGAGATAAAAGTCTACTAAAGAATCTACATGATACATGTATATTTTTCATATTTGACTAAAGCTTTCTTTTTTTTGTTACTTAAAGAAAAACTCTTGGTTGTATAACTCCAAAGGTTTCATTCTCTCAAGTGATTATTTTGAAGAGTTTTGGTTCTGTTTCCAAGCTAAAATTGTATTTTCCAATAATTTGTTTCATTTCACTAAAATATATGCCTTCTTAAATGTTTCTATTCCATTGTTAGCCCTCATGGTCACGATACTTAAAGACAAAGTCTCACACACACCAATGATGAAGAAAATAATGTAGTTCAAGTAGACTAAACCAGAATATGCAGGACTAATGTGACAGAAACACAATTCAAATGTATTTCCATTCCAGATTCAACTCCAGACCAGCATTCAGAGAAATTCAATGACATAGTAGAGATTAGAGAGTTGATCTAGATACCCCAGTGTGCTGTATATATAGAATGAGTTAAAGAGTGAAACAAATCTTTCACCAGACTATCATATGATTGTTGTGACAATCACACAAGTGGTGATAGGTTAATGATCGTTTGAGCAACCTGTACTCAAAACATACAAATCATGAGGGGGACATAATAAAGCACCTCTTAAATCATCTCCACATGGGTCAGGTTTACTGAAAATGCTGGATATAGATGATTCAAGGCACTAGCAGCAGACACTCATGTACAGTTACCTAAATATAAAGATTGTGATTTATGAAGGAATGAGAAATGATACAAGAAACATGAAACCAAGCTGAAGGTGGATTTGATGTTTGTGATTTTACCAAGAAGCCAGATATCAAAACTGCAAACATTAAGAAGTAGGTTGATTAAGTGACATTTATAAATTACCCTGGTGAACATGAATTTATATTAGATCTTAAGAAATGCAGCAGAATATCGCAAAGCCAGATTTCCAGTTTTATCACAGACAATTTATAGCAATGTGAAGTGTATATGTCTATGTGTAATAAAACAGAGATCCATTCAGCTTTCTGATAAAAAACAATCATCAAGCTGAATATAACACCCAAAAGTTCTGAGGGTTTATCAGTATTCTTGATATAATGCTGCACTGAGAATCCAAGATATGACCTTATCTTGCACTTGGGTGATAAGGCAGCCCTGGGAAAATAGTTTGGGAACCATATCCATGAAAATCAAACAAGGAGCTTCCTCCGGTAATATGCAATGAGGAATTAATTTTTTTTAAAACCAGGTCTTGGAAGAATGAAGCTTTTCATTGGATATAGCCCTCTTTGCAGTTGAAAAATATTGACTAATACATATATTTAAAAATATTTTTTTCTTGTATCATTTACGCTGGCATACTCAACATGGATGGTAAGAATCACAAGATATGAGAAACCTGACACATCTGCACATTACTTGATACATTCTTGACTCCTTCATCATCCCTTCTACAAGGTAATAAGTTGTTTTATGTGCTAGGGGAATCATAACAAGTTTGGGTAATGTTTAAGTGCCTGGTCATATTTTTTACTGATTCAAACAAGCTGTCAGAGAAACAAATAGATAAATATGTAGTCTCCTAGAAACTAGAATTTAAATGTTGGTAGGAGAAAAGCAATCAATTTTACAAATGACATGATTGACAGAAAAAGGAATTTGTAAGCATTTTCTAAAAATCATTGTTCAACTACTAGGGTGTTATACATGTATAACAGTTTTAATGCAATTGTGATTAATGTTTTGAAAGTTGCTAAGAAGGTTTTCAAGGAAGCTGCTTTATCTTTATCTTTTATCTTATTTTCCATTGTACCCAAATTTGTAAGGGTTTAGAACTAAGCTGTTCCAGATCCTGAGTATCCCTTCTTGGTACGGTAGGTTTTGTTCATTGTATTAGACTAGTGTGTCAGTAGATTAGACACTGGTGTCAGAGAACTCTTGGAGTAGATTCTCCTAAAATATGACATAGTGCTTATCAAGTGGTAGCAAAATAAATATGTCCTACCTCTTCCATATCCATGTGTATGTTTGGCAAAACTATTGACAACTGCATCTACAGCTTCTCTTAGAACTGTCTTTGCACGGGCATCTGACATAGGCATGTTCATTCCTTTAGGAGCTCCTTGGCCTATTGGAGGGATGGGGTTTGGTCGCCTGCTATTTGGGGGAGGATTTGTAGGTGGCATACTTCTGTTTGCCATTGAATGCTAATCTGTTTAAGTTTACATATCCAAGTTTGCTTCTATGAGCTGTTATTTATCTACATAGTTTATGTTGGAACTACCTGAAATAAAATACATGTATCAAGAATACGGTATGTAAGTTTTTAAGAATTATCTATTCTTCCTATATAATATATAACAATGTTTTGAGTTTAACAAATGAAAATACCTTTCATTAGTTGTTGTCATTGAACTGGTATAATATGCATTTTCCATTGATATGAAGAATGCTAAAATACTGCTCAAAAACTAACCAAATAAGTAATAAATAAAAAAAAGTGGATAATACTAAGAGGTCAAAATGAAAACAAACCCAGATGAAATAGGTCTTACCATTATACACAATAAAAAGCAGATCAGTGGGTTAATGATGAAATATTGAAAAATTTATCTATCTTTTGGAACCTGATCTTACAAAATTCTTGTAATCGAGAAATTGATGAATATTGAAAAGGAATTTAATTTCTTATTTGGAACATTGAATAGACTAGATGCAATTAGAAATAATCTTGATTGATTCAAAATCTAGTCAAAGCCCCAAAGAATTTAGCCCTCCAAATTATGAAAAATAATTGTTTAAAATTAAGAAAACAGCAAATCAACCCCACATTTATGGGGGTTATTGAATGAGGCTATGATAAACCTCTTTTAAAGGTTCAACTGATCTGAAAAAACAACCTTTGTTCGCCCCCTATCAGACGCTTCAGAAAGGTGAAGGCTGAAACTGAAATCAGCTGCTTACTTTGTATCTCTAAAAGTTTCCTGCATATTATCCATCCTACCTTTGCAAAAGTCTAGCTCCTTATGTGCCAATCAGGATTTTTCTTTATCCCCAAGTACAAAGTGGATACTTTCTACAGAGAAACCAAAATGGGGGTGTTGAAGGAAATTCACTAAATTGCGTTCAAAATCTCCAGTGATTTCGGAATGGTAGCTACTGGAAGTTCAGTTGATTTCAGTTTCAGCCATCGTAATTCTGAAGCGAATGTTCTATCAGATCAGTCAGCCTTTCTTTGAATCCAAATAGGTATGCCAAATTATTTTCTGGGGCCATCTTAGGAAGGGAGGCATCTCCCCCTCCCCTAAATCGTTGCTTGTTTCGCCAGTGGATCATTTGATATTTATGATTGAGTCAGTCAGTGATTGACGTCCAAAAAATATTTTTAAAAAACTGACTCATTCCGATATTTGACAGCTTTACAGATCATCGGTGCCAACCATTTTTAGCTTATATAATCAGTGATATGCACTCTATAAATATTTAATATTATAATCAGAATCAGTAATATCTTACCTGTTGAATTTAGTTGGTTTTGTCCGGAATTTTGGTGTGTTGCTCGAACACTGAAATTTAAGACCGGATTAACCTCTGACCCTGTTTACATTTAAATTCCTCCGCCTTTGAAAAACTAAATTTTCGTCGATCGCTGCTCAGTAAAGCACAACGGACGAGACAAGAATTTATTCAACTCACAATCAACTATAACTTCTACATGAAACAATATTGTATTGTGACAGCTGAAATGGTGATATATAACAAGAATTATTTCCTGGAAAGTGTCTGCGGAAGAATATATCATACAGTAGAGCATTCTATCGGCAAAATTGAAAACCAACAACATGGAAGGGAAAAAGTCAGTGCTATTTGTCTGTCTTGGTAAGCATTCTTATTCTGAAGTAACACTTATTGTTAATCATATCAGCCTTTCAAAGTTATTTTATTTTCCACTTTGAAACATCAAATTTTGTTCTCAATACTTTATATACTCTACATAAACTCAAATTATGTTCACATTTCTCAAAATTCAATTGACACACCACATATAGATTTTGAGTGATGATAAATTTCTCTCATATACAGAGGGGGATTAACACCAGAGTTCAAAGATGACATACGCTTATAACGTAAACCTGTATTGAGATCACATACACCTCTGATTGGTCCAAATCGATAAATGGCAGATTCAAAATTTTCTAACAACGCTTCGAATAATGTTATGTTGATTCCTGGCGTATTAAATAGCTTGGTTCTTCACATCAAGATAAAGAAATATGTAAGGATTATGTTTACATTGATTAAAACATCACGGCGACGCGCTTTGTTCGAATATTAACTGGTGAGAATTTGCGCAAACGAAGGTGGTACGCAAAAGACGTATTATGTCAGTCATCGCTAAAGCTCTGGGGCTTTCCCTCCTCTTTCTCATATGAGTGGTTTATGTCATAGGCTACGGGCGATAAAAATCATTTTTAAATAAAGATGGCATGGTAATCAATCTGTGTTTATCTATGTTTCTCAGTGCCATTCGTTGACATGTCAGGCCCTCAGCATGTCATGACATATCGATTTTATGTATTGGTATGTCAATCCACATGTTTTCTTTATATCTAGTTATCTTTTTTTTAAATTGGGAATAGCTTTAGCTTTAGTCGACGTAAATTGGAATTCAAAAACTACATCAGAAATCCGTTTAGTACCTGAGAGAAAAAGATAATACTGGATTCTGTTGGTGCTGCCATCTTTATATCGGCCCAGAACCTATGGTTTATGTGGAAGTGGTATTGCCCCCGGTATTGCCCGGGGGGGGGGATTTTCCAAAGATGACCTTCCGCATTGGCACCTTTGATGACAAATTTTATAAACAGGCCTCATTTCCCATTGAAATGAATCTCTCAATGTTGGCTGTTGTCTTATGAGTATTCTCTACAAGTATGGATTGAGTAACTAAATACATTATAACCGTATGTATCAGCGTGGTCTGTCACATTGTTATTTTCACTCCTTCTCTGCTATCATTTGTATCTTGTAATAGTTCTTGAATTGTTAATGTTTCATTTTAGGCAATATCTGCAGATCACCCATGGCCGAGGCAATACTCGCAAATATGATTGCGGAAAAAGGAGTTGAAGAGAAGGTTATGCTATACATGTATTTTTTGTCATTTCATCTTGTGTCTGATATTGTGCCATAAGATGTGAAATGAATACAAAAATGTATTTCGAACCAAATAATTTGGTAATCAAGAAATAAAGATCAAAAAGGAGGTCAATCAGATTGAAAAGGCATATTTTTGAAAACCAAATGACAAAATAATGACTGTATACTCCAGAGGTGTCTTTACAATTTTTTAAAGACATAAATACGTCCACTTCTCATAATCCATTGCACATCTTGTAGCTAATACTTTATCATCTAGCATTCAACATCTGAACTGTGTTCTTATACTTGATTAATTAATATTTTTTTGTACCTGACCTACATTGCATTAGCCCCAAGGCAGTGTCTTTATTTATTTAAATTTTATTAATTGAAAATCAAGATAAATAAAAGATAACACCGACTTCAATACCAGAACACCTACATGTATAATCTTGAAATAAAAGAATTTGAATGTATTTTCAGTGGCATTTAGACAGTGCAGCCATAGGGTCTTGGCATGTGGGTAATAGTCCTGATCAGCGTTGCATAAACAAACTAAAAGAGAACAATATCTCAACAGAACATAGGGCCAGAACCGTTGAACTAGATGACTTCACTAAGTTTGATTGGATATTTGGATTTGATCATGATAATATTAGGTAAATACTTTGATACTGTGAAGGATAGCTTGCCCCTTTGAAAGTAACAATTGACTCAATTAGAAATCTATGAAGGTATCACTGTTTTAGAATTGAATTAAATTAAGAAAAACATACTATCTAAAATGCTGAGCTCAAAATAAAGCCATATGCATCTTACACATACATGTATAGAGTGTGAGGAGGGTTGGACCTGGTGGTTAGACATACAGGAGATATATGATTTTTAGCATATGTGGGGAAATGCAACATGAAAATTGGACTGTAATTTTGACCATCTGAAATTGTCAATGCCACAATGTACAAGTGTATGAGATACACCCCCTGATAGATATGAAAATATTATACAAAATTCATACTATTGAGGTGAATACCTGCTCTTATTTTTATGTCACATGTAATGTGTCGTAGACCAGTGAGAGAGTGGGGAATATGACAGTGATATCATAATGGTAAGTATGGGGTCGATGAGTATGTAGGTGTAAAGGTAAAACAAAGCATTAACATGCAAATTGTCACTACCTGCCATTTGTTATAGATGCCAAACGATGACAAAACTGAATTTAAAATGAAAAATCACAGGAACCTATAGTCCTTGTGCCATTTAAGGCAGAAACTGTGTATCTTAGATGGTGCACTTTAGGTTCCTGTGGTGAAACTTATTTTAAATCATTTTTAAAAATACCCTTTTGGAATTTAAGTGACATTTTTCCAGTTGTATTTCAGTGAGTTGACAAAGAAGCAGAAGAAAGTCAAGAAAGAAACAAAAGCAAAGATTGCATTATTTGGTGAATATGACCCTCAGAAAGAACTCATCATCGAGGACCCCTATTATGTAAGCATTTATCTATTCTTGCTGAATTTGGCTTCCAATATTCCAGGTCCATTTTCCTGATGCAATTCCCTCATGTCCATGCCTCAACGAACAAATAATACAGCAGACAGTGTCCATGGTCCTTTTCCTTACTGTTTGTTGTCATTTAGTACGAAGGTAAGGAACAAAGTATATGGCCCACAATATCCATGGTCGTTTTCCTTGCTGTTTGTTGTAACTCAATACTAAGCTAAAGATCAGAGTATGTGAGCTACAATATCCATGGTCCTTTTCTTTGCTGTTTTTGTCATTTAGTGCTAAGCTAAGGAGCAAAGTACATGGCCTACAGTATCCATTGTCCTTTTACTTGTTGTATGTTGTATTTTAGAATAAAAATACCCAGTCATAAAAATACCATAAAACATACAAAGAGAGTAAAAGAGTAAGAGTAAAATGACTCACACTGAAGACAACACTGAAATTGAAATATAGTAATTATTGCAGGAACTCCTTTTAGTGTTACTGTTATACTGTAATTATCCCATTGAACGAAGTAAAGATAGGGATATAGAGAAACCATCAGTTCATCCACCAGATGATCCAACAGTCTGTCCATCGATAGGACAGGGTGATAACGCAAATACTAGTTGACAGATTGATATGCCTCGATGACATAACACCTCTGCTCTAGAAGATATTTTCATGAAAAGATACCAGTTTTCAGATTTGGTCCAAAGGGAATGAAATAATCCAGAATGAAAAATGAACTTAGAGTTACTTTCATTTAGATTTTATATGGTGATGCCTAAGGAACATACCATAAGACCTCTGCTCAAAAACAGATTTTCAAGATGGTCACTGAATTTAAAATGGCTACCTTTTTTCATGGAAAATGGAAAAATGTAATTTTTGATGATTTAAATACCATTCCCCATTTAAGAAAGAATCTCCAATATGGCTGATCTATTCAAAATGGCCACCACTTTTTGTAAAAAAATATTATTTTTGTAATATTGGAATCAGATTGTTTGTGTTGATGATATGCCTTGTTCAAGAAGGAATTTTCAAAATGGCAGTCGTCTTCAAAAAAGCTACACAAATACCTGCCATTGGGTTTGGTCCAAATTTTGTTGGTCTGTGCCGATAGTGCCACTACTCAAGGAATTTCTATAATGGCATCATGTCATGGGTGTAGATTTTCCCAAAAGGCAATAGTACTGCCTGGTTATTTCTTTCATATAATGTTCAAATTGATGAATGATTTGATGAAATATGTTTGTTAGGTGGGATCGGCTTCTCCATGGAGCTGCTGTTTTTCTAATAAGGTACATGTATGTGGAAGGTCAATTTGTCACTCGTAAGTTTTTTGATGATTGAAAGTCCCTACCTGCATTTCATTTTTCCAAATTTACTTCTGTGCTAACTTGAAACCAAATGTTAATTTATTTCATTCATCTTTTATTGATTCTCCAAAAAAATCTAAAAATCAAAATTCATATTTGAAATTACATCAAGCTAGAAATGTGGTTTTAAAAAGTGTTTACCAGCTTTGGGAATTTTATTTTCTTTGAAAATGTGACTTCTAGTTCGGGGAGATTCCCCATAGACTCAATGTTATCAAATCACAAAAACTTTGAATAAGTTGAAAATCTTACTTGATGGCCATCTTAAAAAAAGGTGGCTGTTACATGCTTTACAAGATTTTGAAAGAATTTTCAACGAGGGGCACCCTCATTCCCCCAACCCCTCTCCCTAGCAACAGGTTTTGGAGTGTTATGGGTGAATCATAACCGAGTTCTCTCATTCAGCTCATATATGCTCTGGTAGCATAATTGTGTTAACAGCAATCTTGAAATTATTTGTATGGATATTTCGGGACACCCTGTATATATGTTTATTTACTATTTTCAGGGAGAGATTGCGGGATTTGACAAATGCTTCGAACAGTGCATGAGATGTTGCAAAGCATTTCTTGATGCAAACACATAAACATTATAAAGAGACTAATCTAGCATGTAGATGGACTGTGATTTGCATTTACACCATAGGTGAAAGTGTTAATTGGTTGAATTTGGCATCTCTCTAAATTCATGGTGATTTACAAAATCTGTTCAAAATCACCAATTCAAGCCTCCATCAATAATCACTTCATAATGTTTTTCATAAGGGGTTTTCTCATGAATTAAATTGCTAGTCGACTACATTAAAAACAATATCCTAGAAAACAATTCCATACTGCCAAATGATCAATTTACAGCATACTGAACATTTCGTCTGGAATGCTTCAGTGGTTGAATAAATTTTCAATTTTATGTCGAACAAGAGGACATTTGGTGCCATAAATACATTTTATTAAAATGCTTTTTGAAATTGAACCAAACTAGCATAGCTCCATCAAGTTTCATAGAGTCCGGTGATCGGGAAAATGGGATGGAGAGGGGAGCAGGCAATTGGCAATCTGCTAGAAAACACCACAAATTGTCAGTTTTTTTCATGTAAATGTTAACTGTTAAATTGCTAAATGATAGTTGCATGGTATGGTAAAATATGTAAGGTTCTCCTAAAAAAAGTTTGAATCAATACCCATTTAAGATATAAGATCTATATAAAAAAGTTGCAATGCAATGCCACCAACGGGCAAAAGTCAATGTTCTCCCCATCAAACAACAATGGTCTACACGACCTGTTATAAATACTTGTGAGTGACATTATCATTACAAAATTAATGTAATTGCTGACATAACAACATAAGGTTCTGTACGTTATATAAAAAATAATCGAAAATAATAAAAATGGGATGGAGAGGGGGAGGGGATGAAGAGGGGGAGTAATATGTCTATGAGACAAGATACATGTAAGAAATGTTACATTACCTTATTTCCCATAACTTCAAATTCCCCTATTTTTCCTCAATTACAATGGGTCAGGAAATGATAACAAGTTGTATTGGAGTAAGGTTGAATTTGGGTTGGTAATATCTTGGGGAGGACTGTTAACCTGTAAATATTTAGCTGTCTAAACGTTTTACTTGCTGATTTGGAGACTTATCATAGACACCTTGTCAAACCTCTATTTTGACATGTACATTTCAGTTGTAACCTACAAGATATCTATCATGCCATATATTTTTAGCAATGCATGTCTTCAACAGATGCATAATTTAGATTGAATAATCTGCCAGGAAGGTTCTCAATTAATGTGCCATTCATGCAGCACCCATTGCGCCATGTACCAAATGAATTTTTGAAAAAGGAATAAGAATTGGGACATTTGGAGAAAATAAAGTAATGTAACATTTCTTACACTTGTCTCATAGACATATTACTCCCCCTCTCCATCCCGTCTTAATTATTTTCAATTATTTTTTTTATATAACGTATAGAAACTTATTTTATAAAGTAAGCAATTGTATTAATTTTGTAATGATAATGTCACAAGTATTTATAACAGGTCAGGTAGACCATTGTTGCTAGATTAATGGCAAAAACATTGACCTTTGCCCGTTGGTGGTGTTGCGCCTTTTTTAATAGATCTTATTTTTTAAAAGCGCATTGGTTCAAAAAATATTTTACCATATTGTGCGCCTATTCATATAGCAATTCAAAGATAAACTTTCTCTTGAAAGTTTTTTTCCAGATTTGTTGAATTTTTAAGCAGAAATTGCCTGCTCCCCCTCTCATCCCACTTATCCGATCACCTAAAGAATCTTAAAATAGAAAGGTAACCAGGATTTGGTTTGAACATTTTAATTTTAGTACCTGTATTTGAACTGAACTTATCAACTTATCCTTGAACCCTATATATTTTGCTTGCATGTAAATAAGTTGTCCAAAAATTTAAGTACATGTTGTATTTTGTAAGTATAACTGATACTCAAGGTGGTTGGCAATATGTGCCATATTATGCTATATAAAGCTATATTAAACATAGGAGCAATGATTTGAGAGTGTCCAGCTTCAGAACATATAAATATCCCACTTTTGAAAATGACTTTTTTACTTTACAGTAAAGACTGTATGTAGTGAACACCTACAGTATGGAGCCACTATACATGTAAAATGGCTCAATGTAGATTGGTGTTAACTACAGAGATGGGATTTTAAACAGGAGTCAATTGTAAAGTGTGTCTTGAAGTGGTGTTCACTAACACAGGTGTTCACTGGAGAAAGGTGTTCGCTAAGAAAGATTTTAGTGTACATTGATCCATAATTTTAATGGATTTAATGAATTATACCCTGTAAAGGCATTTTATGTTGAACTTTGGTCAATAATGTTTTCATTGAAAATGAAGTAGATGAGACCATCTTTGTTTCTAAAACATCTTTGTTTCTAGTTCATCTCACAAATCTTCTATTTCATTAAGAAGCATAATTATGTCATGGTCATTTTAATAAAAAGCACCCTGTCATTGTAACTAATTTTATGCCTTTGGGTAAACAACCACCTTGATCCAGTTTACAGCTTGATACATTTACATGTTATGCGCAATAAAATTGCAAGCTTTATATACATAATACAGATACATAAGTTTGTCTATTTCTTGTTTATTCTAATGAGTAAAAGTAGGAACCATCTGAACAGATAAAAAAAATATATAAAATATTTTGCAAGATTCTATATTATGAATTCTTAATTTAAAAAAATTATTTCAGTATCTATTGATGTTCGAAGTGACATTATTACTATTCTAGTAATTATAATACTAAGAGAAACCTTGCTAGAGATGCCACCATGAGTGTGGCGGGGTCCTGGTGGTGTGCTCTGTGTTTCTGCACGCTTATAGCGTCTCATCTTGGACAAGATGAAAATCAAACTGGTAAACGAGTATCATACTGTCTTGAATGCTTCAAAATAATCTTGCATATCTTTAGAACTTTATGACAACCTTTCTTGACATCAGTCTTGCATTAATTTATACTCCACAAAATCTGTACGAAAGTTGACCATATATCGATTTTGCACGAAAATCGTCAGCCCAGTCGCCCGTCCATGCCATATTAACTCCAAAACATGATATCTGCTCTGTTTCCTTGTCAATTCCAAACTTGAAGCATGAACTGAAATAATTATTCAAACGTAAAGGAATCGGTATTAATAATTGATGCATTTGAACATCTAATCAGTAAAATGGCAACTGTGTCATTCTACTGAAACACGCCCAACCAGCGACGACGTAAAGTGACAGAATATACCATGTAGCTACCATTTAGCTGTATGTTATCATATATAAATGATTTGAAGCAAAATCTCTGATGTTGGTTTTAACAAAGGATATAATGAAGCATTTCATGTTAAATTTCATGTGCATACTCTTGGCAAAACTTTTAACTTTCTTTTTAACTAACATTAACCACAGGCTGGTATCGAAAGATTTGTCCGCTGTGACGGAGCATGCTATTTTTCATAAAAACACTAAGAATGCTTCACGATTTATTTTTTAACTCATATGTTTCGTTATATCAAAGATAATTACTTACTCCATGCAATGGATATATAATTTGCGTGTAACCTTCACTTCTGTTTGAAGTCTAATAACGCTAGGAGTAAAATCTATTGAAAACGGCGCCAGAGTATCAAACTCTAAAATGTACCATTTCTTTTTTAATTTTTTAATGGCATGATATAGTGACACGATAATATTAACATATGTTTTCACCATAACTCTGAATGTAGTAATGAAATATTAATGCATTGGGTCTTTTTAATTTTTTTATAAAAAATAATATTGATATTTTTTGTCCGCTGTGACGGAGCATTTTCACAGTTCACATTTGCAACTGCTCCGTCACAGCGGACAAAAAAATTAAACATTATTTTCTATAAAAGAATTAAAAAGACCAAATACATCAACATCTCATTTATACCTTCATAGTTATGCTGAAACCATGTGTAAATATTATTGTGTCACTATATTGTGCCATTAGAAAGTTAAACAAGAAATGGTACATTTTGAAGTATGATACTCCGGCGCCATTTTCAATAGCTTTTCTTCCCAGCGTAATTGGACTTCAAACAGAAGTGAAAGTTACCCGCAAATGATATATCCATTGCATGGAGTAAGTAATTTTGTATGGTATAACGAAACATGTGAGTTAAAAAATAAATCGTGGAGTATTCTTAGTGTTTTTATGAAAAATAGCATGCTCCGTCACAGCGGACAAATATTTCGATACCAGCCTGTGTTAACGGATTCTGGAGGAGTGCTCGAGTTTTTATGTCACCACCAAAAAGTGGTGACATATTGTTATGGTCTGGTAGGTTTTTTTTATGGCGGTTGGCGATCGATTTTTTTCAAAATCATCTACATGTTTTGCAGGGGAGCATACCCCCAGACCTCCCGCGATGCACAGTCTTCGGCCACGCAATCAGGCATCCCCAAAAGTGCGTACCAACTCTAAATATAGCCCTACGCCCATGAAATCTGACTTTATATTTAAGCGTTGACCTTTAATGACTTTTTCAAGATCAAAAAAGGTCAAAAGGTCTTTTTTCAACTTGCTTCAAATTGACCAATTTTTTCAAATCATAAACAAGTTATCAGAAGTTCAAATCTGAATCGTTCATCGTTAAACTTGGGTATTGGTTTTTTGGCCCACCTTGTATAATTATTTTATATACGATAGCCTACCGGGATTTATATTGACTGATAGTACTGAACGAAATACTCACGGATATTAAAAACTATTTGTGGCACGTCATGACACTGACATTCAGTCCTTGAAAAAGCAGACGTGCAAGCCAAGGTGAGTGAGCATATATCCCTTATGTTTCCTAATTATACATTATTCCTTGTTGATTTTCGTGTCTGTTTAGTGTAAAATGCCTCAATATATTTACCTTTTGTATTTTGTCTAATTTGTAGTTTTATTTGTATAGACTATTAGTTTTTACGTTCAAATACATTCAAATTCAAAAATATTAGGCCTAAAGTCCATTTCACCGCTTCAGTTCGTCAGTAGAACGGCAAAAATAAGAAATTGGGAGACCATTGTGCAATAATATATGGAAAAGTATATTCATAATGTACACGGATGACATTTGTATATCTTGGATTGCTTCTAGTTTGGCTTATAAAGTGTGTGGCCTCTTATATTTGGATGTTTCTCTGCCATGTTATTTTCATTAAGATTAACATGGCTGAAATTCTTCAAATTACAAGACGGCACAGGCTTATTGCACAAAAAACTAAAAAATCTGAAATATACAAATGTCATTCATGTACATTATGAATATACTTTTCCATATATTATTGCACAATAGTCTCCCAATTTCTTATTTTTGCCGTTCTACTGACGAACTGAAGCAGTGAAATGGACTCTAGATAGGCCTATACGTCCATGATTCAATGCACCACAAAGCCATGTGTCTCCTCTTTACAATGATATATCATTCATTGATATTTGGTCATGGTTGAGCGAGTAATCATTCCATTTGCCAAGTAGGCCATGGATCTACCTAGCACAGTCAGATAGGGCCTAGCCTAATCTTAGAATGTTCTTGCGAAAGGCACTGGCGGATTAGGGGGGGAAATTTTCAAACTCTTCCTGAGAAGTCGTTTTTATTATTTCACATATGCTTGTGCACTGTAATCATTACAAAGACATCAAAGAACAACAAAAAACTTTAGTTTGAGAAAAAAGTGCCGTTTAAAGAATTTGAGAAGATTTTTTTCTAGGAGTAGCCCGTGAAAAACCGCTGATTCAAAATATCTGAACATTTCAAAAAATAAACTTCAAACATATATCAAAAACGAAGGAGCAACGGAAATTTGAAAAATTACCCGATAAAAAAATAGGGATCAAAATAAGGAAAAAAGTACACTTCTCAAATTGTTTTTTTCTATTTTTTTAATTTGTATGAGAGATTTCAAAATTCTAAAGCTCCTTCCATTTTGGGCTATATTAAAGGGATGTTTCAGAGAAATTAGAAAAAAATGTTCAGGGACCTTTGCCATGCTACTCTTTTTGTCAATTTTTCTGTCACATTTTCATAGGACTCAAATTCCCATTCCAAAATGTTTACCGTTTCTATTTGCATTACCACAGTGAGCCTGGTTATATAAATGATAAGTGGAACCAAAAAATTGAGAGAAAATCCAACCAAAAGACAGTTAATTTTGATGGTCAGATTATACTCAAATGCCATGTGCTTTCTGGTTTCGGCCATCTTGGATTTTTGATTAAGTTATAAGTTACCTTAAGGTTCAGCTGGAAAGAAACATTTTGATAAAAAATTGCTATATAGATCTACCTGCACATGTTATTTTCTGGTACAAAATTAAGTATGAAGGCATGTGTGTATTTCCTTGGTTTTCTCAGGAAAGTATCATTACACTGTCTACTTTTAGTAAACCTGGGAACATGTCAATGGTAGCTCCTTTGGCCTCCTGTGTTGTCTGGAAACTTTGAAAGAAAATTTGGAAAAATAGAAAGTGTGAAATATCAGAATTTTCTGGAGTTCCCATTACACTCCTATCAGATATTCTAAAAGAAGACAATGTAATGATACTTTCCTGAAAAAAACAAGGACATTGACATATGCCTTCATACTTTATTTTGTACCAGAAAATAACATGTGCAGGTATAGCAATTTTTTACCAAAATGTTATTTTCCAGCTGTACCTTAAGGCCCCAAAAAGTGTGCCTTTTTGGTCATAACTGGGCCTTTTAAGGCCTTATTTTTTAATTTCAGGCCAAATTTTGAAGAAAATGGGCCTCAAAATTTGGGCCCACTTTTGGGTTTTAGGAGCCGGAAGTTTTTTTCTCTGACCATAAATTTGGGCCCCCACCCTTGCTGGTTCCCAGATCCGCCCCTGAAAGGAGATTCTGGGATTTTAAATTTTGGAAGTTGGGAAACCAGAATGTGTTACCTTTTTTAATTCCCGAATCTCTCCCAAATTAGCTCATCTTGGTGACTGTAAATTGCACAGCTGTATTCAATGGAGTCTTGTCATCAGCCACAATTTTAAAGTGTATATTTTATTTTTAACGTGATTTCATCGTTTTTTGTCGACTGGTAAGAATCCGCTGGGCAAATGGCAAGATGGATGACTTTTGACCTGACCTTGACCGATGGCGGTGACGTCATCAATTTTATCTCGACGTTGATTGGTTAAATGATGATTGTTTGGGAAATTTGAATTCAGTTCTCGTAACCTCCCGTGACCTCCCGAATAGGTCACGTGACCTTGTGCCAGAAGTCCGACTTTTTTGTCAGTCGACCTGTTCAAAGTACATTTAGTAATAATTATCGCTTTTCAGAACAATTTAGGAAACAATATTTTCTATCTACGTCGATTACAAAGCATCTAAGAACGTATTAGATGTCCGTGGAAGTTAGTCTACAGTCAAAACAGTAATTTTGTTTGTGAGTAACTTACTTTGAATTCAAAAAATAAGCAATCAAATGACCATATTGAAACAGTTAATGTAAAAATAGAAACATTTATATTTATCCTAACTTTTGTATATTTCAGATAGTAATGTATAATGTGCGGCAAAGTACCCTTTGCATTCGTTTGACTTCACTTCGCCGCCCCAATCAGTGTTCGTCGGCCAAATTTGACCGACGTTCTATTTATGGGCATTCCTTCTGACGTCATCGTTGCGCCCGGAATGGACCAATGACATGCGCATATTTAATTAGAACGCATTTGGCGTATGTTTCCTCAAGCTCGCTGATTGGTTGAAGAAAGGTCAGCACGTAGGTCAGCACGTAGGTCAGAAGTGATTTACTACCCAAACTGTCACCAGTACCCGTCCTGGGGGTGGGGCTACTAAACTGTTATATGGTCTCTACTAGGCAGAGTGTAGTTTAACTAGACTCTGCACGCAGGGTAGCGGCAAAGCTGTGGCCTTTTGTAATTTAGGAAGTTTTAATTTTTCCGAATGAAATAACATGGCAGAGATGAGTATCAAAATATAAGAGGACACAGATATGATAGCTAAACTAGAAAACAAACTAAAATATACAAAAGTTAGGATAAATATAAATGTTTCTATTTTTACATAAACTGTTTCAATATGGTCATTTGATTGCTTATTTTTTAAATTCAAAGTACTCACAAACATTACTGTTTTGAATATACGTAGACTATACAGTCTGTTATACTGCTTCAAAGGCAAGCAGTTAAACCTGAAATATAAGAAATCTAAATAATATTGTGCAATACTATATAGAAAAATATATCCATATTGCACACGAATGACATTTGTATATGTTGGATTGCTTGTAAATTGGCTCATAAAGTCTGTAACCTCTTATATTTTGATGCTTCTCTACCAGTGGAGACGATGGGCTCAATTGCCGTATCATATTGCAATAGTCCTATTCGCCTTTTTGCTGCACATGCGCATTCTTAAACAATGTTCACGTAATGATCGCACTAGTTGACCAAGAGAAAATGGTTTAAATCGAGCCTTCAGCTAGCGGCCAATCATAGGACTCATACTGATTACTGCTCGGAAATCGAGTATTGGATAATTATTTGTCCTATCACATGCCTCGTACTATTTCGATCAGAAATCAACTTGCGGGAAGGGAACTTCGAAAGAAAATTTTATTTCTTTTATTTTGCATATGACTTGCACTGCGTCCACAAAACACAATCACTTTTTATTTCTGGGTCCAAGGGATATATTTTGCATGTATGTAAAGTAAGGACGGCGTTATTGAAAACATAGCAATGAGGTTATTATGAATACTTTATATTTCCTTGCATTTTTTTGGCCTTGATCAAAATGTGGTAACTTTACGAGGATGATTTCCTTTTTAAATTTTGTATTGAGTCAAGGCTTGCTCTATTGACTTCTTTTTCCTTCTAGACGAATTACTCAGATGCGAGTAGGTAGTTACCAGTTTCGCCACCAGGTGGCTAATTCGGGGGAAATAACATGGCAGGGTATTACAAAATTCCCTTAAACTTAAATATTTATCAGTTTTAGTGGTTCACTTTTCATATTACCTTATGTATCTGATAGTTATACAAATTAAAATATGTCCAGTAAAAGAAAATATTATCTGCCCAACACAAGAAAAGATATTTCCCTTTTTGTGATTTTCCAACATGAGGGCTATGGGGAATCTCCCCGACCTAGAAGTCACATTTTCAAAGAAAATTAAATTTTCAAAGTTAAACTCTTTTCAAAACCATATTTCTAGATGTAATTTTACATGTAGATTCCAAATATAACATCAGTTTGACTGAATTTTTAATGACGTAAATCAAGATTATTTCTACTTGCATCTAGGATATTCCTGTGATGATTAATCACCGACTGCAGTGCTGTAAAAATGACATAGTGAACACCTGTGTCTTCTGTATTAAATACACCCCATGCAGACAGATCGCCTGAAATTACATTTGTATGATGTGAGACTACATTCACCAGGAAACTTGAAATAAGTTGTCACCCATGGAGCAAATTAATTATCCCACTGAACAAAGTTCGAGGGGGATATAGGAAAGCAGTCGGTCTGTTTGTCTGGGCGATAAGAAATCGACAAATATTTTGTTGCGGTTTTATCTTTACATCGTAATACTTATACATAGAACTCAATGTGACTGTCATTCACCATTTAGTAAGTTAAAAATTTATTTGCTTCATGGGTGGCAAAATGTTTCTAGTTTCCTGGTGAATGTGGAGTCTCGCATCATACGAATGTCCTAATGATAGTTCACTTCTTGTTTTCACTTCTGGTTTATCGGCAAGGATAAGGTTAAATGCTTTGGGTTGAATTTTTTTTAATTATTTTTGAACTGGCCACAAAGTTTCAACTAGGTGCCAACTAGGCCCAGGGCCTGGTAAAAATGGTCTAGGGAGGTCATAGTAAACATATGATACTGATAAACGTTTGTGATAAAAAATATTGTGGAGATTCCACCTATACCACATGAAATAAGAAAAAAGAAAAATTGTACCTTCAAGGTTCTGGCATTTGTTACCGAAACAGATCTGTTTGTTTGAAGAATGCAGTTCCAGTGACACTTCCTACTTATTTGCACAAAATTGATGGACAGTAGTGATGAAAATAATATATAATTATATAAACAAAATGTCTTCTTTTACCAAATAGATATTATAGACATATTTCTTCATTTAATGAACAGTGCATCTCTTTAAAACATAAAAGTGTAGTAAATCAATGATTAGAGGCAGAGTTTGAGGTGAAAAAAACATAGCAGTGTTCTCCCCCAAAAAAATTTCAACTGGGTGCAATTTTACGCTCATTACGCTAGCGATATCACCGGGCGGGTGCTTACTTCACTCATTTTGCAAATCAGAAGTTGGAGTACAGGGTGCCAACTAGGGCCCAGGGGGCCTTTGGTTCCAAGTAGGGGAGCCCCTGGTAAACCAAGGGAAAGATCAATACCCGGTGATTTCAGCGGGAAGTGGTGTTTCGTTCAGTGGATGAGCTGCGCGCGCACGCATAAATGTGATTATCCAATATAATTAGGGGAGGGCTATTTGAAACAGTTTTTGGTCTCAGGCGCGACCCAGGGCTGTTGTCTTAAGGACATTTCGTTGAAAATGAGCCATTCGGCTAATAATTGGTAAGAGTTTGCGATCTTATAATGTATAACTGTTACTCAGACACATATTTTGACACGATTCTGTTGGAAATAAGCTTTGAACCGAGAGATATTCACGATTGATATGCACATTTTTGATTGTGCCATTGCTTTTCCATTGCTCAATTCATGTATTGATAGAAGTAACATTAATAATGCAGATTGGTTTACCTTCAATACATGGCAGACACTACATATCGGTCTATTAAATACCAGTTTGTGCCTTAAATAGTTTTATATTTCCATCCACGGCCTGGAGCCTGGATGTGTTTGTCTCTTATGTGTATGCTTGTGCATGGACTTCTAATCACTAGCAGAATTTAACATGATGCAAACTCGACATTATAACTCATGCTGTAACATTTTGACTTCGATGGAAAACAATAGGAATTATTTTTCTTGCCAATCAATCATGAATCACAATCAAAATTTCACTATGATCAATCAGGCAATGGTCCAAATCAAGTTATAACATTATATGATATTCAGCAAGAAGTCCGGTAGAAATACAGAATATTTAAACATCAAAGCTGAAAGTTAAAAGCTAATCTGTCAATTTTCTTTCTGCAAAAGAGCGTTTACATTTGACACAATAACAGACTGAGTCTTTGAAATCTAGGATTCCCCAGGAAAATATGACGTCATACTAATTAGCATAAGGATTTCCCTATTGGTATGGGTCGAGCCTTGTTCGAAAACACAATCCATAAATACATGCTAATTTCTAAGGAGATAGGAAGTGTATAACGTGTTTATCGATTTTGTTCAAAGATTTAATCAATTATCAAATTGTTTAAGTGGATAAAGTGATAACACTTGCTTCAATTCATAGCGTAATCGACGGATAGAAACTGACCGAATTCCCGATATCCTACCCCGTATTACTGTAGGCTATAAGCACAGTGACCTACAGAGGGCGCTATCACAAACAAGTACTGCACGAACCGATAAATTCCCGGGTATTGTAACGCCCTTGGGTAAACGTGACTTGGTGAGATCACTGTACATGTACATTCATCAAAAAACATCAAAACGAATAGTTAAAAGTACAAATTCTGTTTACAAAATTTCTGATTTATTTAAGATTTGATTAATAAATTTGAACTGATTCCCCATGTTCGTTCTCAGGTTATTCAAGGTCTTTGATTGATAATTAGTTTTGTATTTTTAATTTGCTAAATCACGTTCATGTACTTTCAGAATAGATTCATCTGCTTCTCTTGAAAGCTCCAAAATTTAAAAGGTCTTTAAACATGTTAAAATAATATATTTATAAGTGAATAAAGAAATATCTGTTTGGAAACACCATATGCCATCGTATCAGAACGTCCTCAATTTTATACCATGCAAATTCACACGTCTACCAAGTACCTATCTAATGGCATTCCCTAAAATAAATGGCTACTTCTACGAGACATACAGAGATATACAGCTGTGAAAAGTCATGATAGCATGATGTAGTCTAAAAGTAAAGTCTAGTTTTCTGACTAAGAAGGTCTTTAGTTATGTCTGAGTACTGATTGGTATCTTTACTAATTAGTAACCTGTCTGCCACTAGTTAATGCCAGTTTAATGCAGTTCTGCACTTTCAGATAGTTTTGAAAGAAAAAATAAATAATTGTAATGTCATTTCAACATAATTTGAGCAAAATATTTTGAATTTAAACTTTCTATTCTGTAAGTATAATGCACATGTTGTAACATTTGTGATTTTTTCCCTTTCATCTTGAATCAAAACAAGTGTGTACATTGTATCATGGGGCCAAGGCCTATTAATGCAATATGTCATATGCTAGGACTTCTTAATTGAATATGACATATATGATACACATAGAATACTGAAACTCCTCCTGGTATATAAGGATTACTGTAGATTGGGTTAATTTGGCGCTACTTAATTTGGCGATTTTGCCATTTTTGGCATATTGGCGGCTATTTAATTTGGCGGATATGCAAGAAAATTAACTTACCATGTAAATGGATAAGTTTGGCTATGTCCATTTTTCTTTTGAGGACCACTGGCGATCATCCTTTACATTTTGCACCTCGATCGATGCTGCTACTATACCACGCTTTTCCTTTCTAGTTTTTCCCTGAATATTAATGAGTGACTGACCAGTTCTGAGCCAATTTATGAGAGACATTTTTCATATTTTTGAAAGAAACTAAACCGGAAGTGACCTAAATACACTGGAGGAAATACTCTAGATAATTCCCGGGGATTCATTTTAAATTTTGGCGAAGATTTATATTGGCGAATTTTTCAATTTCGCCAAATTCGCCAAATTAAAGCGGGCGCCAAATTAACCCAATCTACAGTAACTCATTTTTGGACTTCTGTTAGATTTCTGTAAAAAAAAACTGAGAAATTTAAAATAAGAAACAAAATAATGAAAATACAACTGTATTATGTTTTCTTGGAGTAAAATCTTCTTGAACTAAATCCTCCACAATATGTTTTGCCTATTATATAAAAACATTGATTATTTAATATATACTATGTGATTTAGTGAGATAATTATGATAAATGAAAAGTAATCAATTGCGTTTGGCTGTAGTCAATTTTATAATTTATATAGTAGCATATTATGTTTTGTTAACCTTGCCAAAAATAACTTGGCCATGTTACCACCATGTGTGCACAGTATAAGGACAGTAAGAGGAGGGAAAACCCCATGATTCAATTGATGACATACGATTTCCTCCTTCGCGCACCTCCTTTCCCGGAAGTACGTATATTTATACTTCCCTCCATCTTGGTTTTCAAAGTTTTCAAATTGACCTAGTTTTAAACCAATCAACGATCGACTCGCTAAACCAATCAGCGACGATGTCATCTCAATACAGATTTACATTATAAGCGTATGTCATCTTTGAACCCTGGGGTTTCCCCCCCCCTCTTAGGACAGTTTACAAAGATTTGTTTTGCTTGGCTGGTCTAGTTTAATAATATTTAGGTAAATGTTAAGTGATTTAATATTTTGATAATATTACAAGTTTATAAAGCACTTAGGAGACCCATATATGTAATAAGATCATTGAGTTCAAATAAAATGTATGAAGTAATGATGATGAATAAAAGTAAGACTCAAAACTGATGGTTTAAAGGGGTTTTTGTTTTAGGTTCTGGTAAGTTTTGCCACTTCCATTCTGTTATTGCATTAATAATCTTGTTCAAGATTGACAAGTACTTTACAGCTGTTAGTGACACATCTTAATTCTGATATGTGTAGAAAAATAATTCATATATTTTGTATATATATTGATCAGGTAAATATACTTGACCAAATCAAAAGAAATTTAAACATGATTATTAGAAAATATGAATTATTAAAACCTGTATATAAATTGCTTCAATAGAATTAATAGAAATACTTTTATATTTTCAGAAACTGAACAAACAAGAAATCTACTTTGAAACGCTCTAGCAAATTCGGACTGACACAAGTATTCTTATTAAAAAGGAAGTGGAAACTTGAAATAATAACACAAAAACAGATAAGAATTACTCTATCATTTCTAGAGTAGACAAAAGTATACAACATACACAAGCTTATCTAAGCAGGTCAACATTTAGAATCTCGTATTTTTCACTATTTGTTTGTTCTCATATCAGGGTGCAGTTGAATAACAAAAATAACACAAGACAAGACTAAGAATATACACAAGATGTGTCCGCAGAAATACATAATAATTTCACTATTTCTGACATTATGTCTTATAATACAAACTGGGACATCCAAAGTCAATATTAACACAGAAGGGATCTCAGAATATTTCACTGCAGAGATAATGGAGAAATATGGAACTGAATCAAAGTTGGGGTACGGTCAGTTTGCAACATTGATGAAAGATCTGAAGCATGAGATACAGCCATTGGATGAAGCTGATGGCTTGAGTGTCTGGCAGATATGTAATGTCTCGGTTGGAATGTGGGCTGCTAATGCAACATGTGTACAAGATCAGGTAGGTGCTATTAGTAAAACAGTTGTCCCTGAATATGTACCTTTTCGAGAATTTTCGAGTTCCATATTTAACCTTTTGACACTTCCTTTTTATTAGACTCCAGATGTCAATCTGGAGTCTATTGTTTTTGCCAGTATTCTTCTTCTTCTTATTATTTTTCTTTAAGAGTTTTTTCAATAACTATAAGGTATCCAGTAAAGATCATAATACAGTATATTTAGGTTCAGTATCTAGTTGGTGGGAAATTGGGTCAAATTTTTATCTAGGTCAAAGGTCAAGAACTAGGTCAAATCCAGTACTTTGTCACTTTTTTCGATTTTCTCAGTCGTCCTTCAATATTTTCGATCCGGGTTTTTTTCATTGTGTTCCTCATAAAAAAGTAGTATCAAGAAACACGATTTAGATTTTTGATATCTCGAACTGATTTCGAGATATCAGTGTCCAAAGACGAGGTCCAAAAAAAAATTCTCCGAATCATATGTCCAGGATATTAGTCTTATAGGAAATTTTCTCAGGATTCCGAATCTGAAAACCAAATTTGGATTGGACTTCCGGTTCAGAAGTTATGGCGTTTTGAAAGCTCAAAAATCGCTAAATTTGGTGCCCATGTTAAGTCAATGGGAAAAAATATTTTTTGAAGTGAAAAATACGAAATATAGACTGAGTTCAGCTTAATATAATGATAGCTTTTAAAAAAATTGGACCTCAAAAGCCATCTAGCTTCAAAATTTGGACCCCAAAATGCCTAGGTCAAAATCTAGGTCAAATTCAAGGTTTTTCCTTATTTTTGCGATTCTGACACTACAGATTAATTATATTCTTCGAAACTTTGTATACATGTAGACAAGAGTGTGCTAATAGTGTTAGCCTTTTGCCGTCAGGAAGTATTTTGCCCCACTTTTGAGATATGGTGTCCAAAAAGTAGGTTAAAATAAAAAATTCTCCAAATTTAACGTTTGAGTTATGCAGTAAGTATAGAATTTTCTCAGGAATCCGAATCTACAAACCAAATTTCGATCCGACTTCCGGTTCAGAAGTTATGGCGTGTCCGAAAAGTAGGTCAAAATAAAAATTTGCCAAATTTAACGTATGAGTTATGAATTAGGGGTAGAATTTTGTCAGGAATCCGAATCTTTAAATCAAATTTCGATTTGACTCCTGGTTCGGAAGTTATGGCGTTTTGAAATTTCGGAAAATCGATCTGATGGTATCCTGATAGAAAGTCAAGAGTAGAGAACAAAATATTGAAAAATTCATCCATCCTTGCTATCTGATCTTACCCTATCCTATCCTTTCCTTCCTATCTATCCTTCCTTCGTATCATTTCCTTCCTATCCTTCCTATCCTCTCCTATCATATCCTTTCTTCCTATTCTGTTCTATCCTATCCTTCTTTCTTATCCTATCCTATCGTTCCTTCCCATTCTATCCTATCCTACCTTCCTATTTTATCCATCCATCTTTTTCTGGATGACTCAGCTTATTTTGGATGACTCAGCTTATTCTGGATGACTCGGCTAAAAAAAAGTCTAGATCTGGAGTCTGAAATTGAACTTCGTTCAATTTCCAAAGTCTAGTTATCATTACTTTAGCCTGATTTTAATGATTTGTTTTATAGGAAAAACAAAATGTAACAACCTTCCGAATTTCTGTGAAAACGTGTTGTTTAACCTTCTGCACTCTGACTTATTTCAGCAAATATATCCCACGCATCCGACTTATTTTTCAAAAATGATATGCCTGGACTGAATAATTAATATCTCAATAACTACTGAATGAATCTGGATAAAATTTTCACAAAGGGAAGATACACTAGCGTGGCTCATGAGAAAAATGTTCTCATGAATTTTTTTTGTACATAAACACGACTGGGCATAAATATACCATGAATACTCCTCCGGAATCCGCCGTTTCGCCCCTCGGGAGATTCAACGTCTGGTCAGAATCCAAAACTGAATTTGCAGCGATCGAATGTTCTTCTTTTCAGTTCAGAAAATATTCTAGTTTCTATTTTCGATGACCATTATCGGCTTCCAAGAGCCTAAAGAGCTCGAAATCGCAATCCATTTCCTCCACATTTTCGTTGTGATCGTATTTGGCCGTCATTTTGTACGATTTGTTCACTAAAAACGACTTAGACACTGTTTAAATTGTTGAATTAGGAAATATTTTTCGAAACATCGCCATTTCTAGGTCAACAGGAAGTCACCTACTAAGGACTGAATAAATCGGGCAATCTAATTGGATCATAAGAACGGCGGGAAAAAGTAAAGTTTTCAAAAGTTAGATTTGTGTCGTCCGGATCCGCCGGTGGATTCTGGCGGTAATTTTGAATGGGCGGATGCGGGCGCCCGTGGTCTGCTAAAGGTTAAAGTAATTCATAAAACTGCAACATCCTGTTTGCTTGATGTCATGTTTCAATATGATATATTGCTGAAATTATTGTTTGCAACTTTTGGAAGTTTGTTTATCTAAGCATTACAAAAATATGACCTGGAAGACATAAATATTATGAGCTTTCTATGAAAAGATGGCATTCTATCTGCATGAGCTGGTTTGAATTGTTTGTTTCGGCCAACCAAAATAAATATCAACTGGGCTATGAAGTCATACTGACAAACAGAGACCATTTTGGAAATCAGTTCTATTCTCATAAGGACCATGCTAGATTTATCTCCTTTTACATCATTCAGAGATGGTGAAGTAAAGATTGAATCAAAATTACATGCAAACAATCAGTAGGTTGCCTACAATCCCCAAAACATCAAAAGTATGTCTCATGGATCATTGCATCTTTAATATTATATCTAAAACTAATGGAGGAATAGGGACAGATGTAATTTAATTTATAAATCTTCAAATAAATCTTGTGAATGAAAAAGTGAATGAAACTTTCCCTACACCTAAATTGTAGGATCAATCAGACTAGTATAGCTGGCTATATGATGATTCCTTACATGTTCCTTTTGTTGTAGTGCCTAACAACAGGTGAGATCTGGCAGCTGTATGATCTGACCAAGAATGAGACGATTGGAGAACAGTTCTTCTCCAAAATGTCCCCATTGCTGGTCTACCAGCTGCGCAACCCAAAGTGCCATGTACAGGAGCAGAAAGAGGAGGGGCACAAGATTAAAGCCCCACCAGCAGAAGGTATGATACCCTACTGGGTACAGTAATGAAAACTCTTGATCTTCTCTTAGCTTCTTTCTAGTTGAAGATAGAAAGATGTGGTGAGTGTTATTAAATCTTAGGGGCCATCTCAAAGGTTTGCACTCATTATATGTTTTGATTTTGTAATTACTAGACAATCCACTAAACCATTTCAAGTTGTCATTTTGAAGGCCTCACTCATTCCTTTAAAGCCCAACTATGCTTAAAGAAGAAAAAAAGGAAAAATTAATCATTGAAACATGTTACTCACACACTTATTAAATATGATACAAAGTTTCATTTGCAGTAATATTAAACCAAGGAAAAAATAAATCACGTAAAAACGGCATTTAAAGTTCAGATATCATTAGAAGTGCATGCACATTTTTGACAAAGTGCATGTTTTAAATTACTTTTGATTTATAAGATGGCGACACTTCTATAAAAATTACTGTATCATGTAATACAAACAACTTCACCATCTTTCACTGACATTGATGAAAACTTGTGGCCTGTTTTTGGTGTCAAATGAAAGATAAAGTACTTATAAATCCATTGGAAATACTATGAAATTAAAACGTAGAACTTTATTTCGCCACAAAATGTTGAAAATACGCAAAGTGGGCCTTTAATAATTGAAAGAATTGAAGCTGAAACAATGATACTTTCCAAATTGAGAATTTAATTTGATATAGAAGTAAAGTGTAAACTGTAAAAAGGAAACACTTTGTGGTCTCTGGTTTTCGATGACCCATCGACTTACGTGTTATTACTTAGAAGCTCTAAATTCGAACACCTCTTAATATATGAACACTTTTAGCTTGTCCCAACTGTGTAACTAGAGGGTTTTACTGTATTTATGTTTTTTGATTTTCATGTTATATTACTTATCATATTACATATTTATATTTTGATATATTTATTAGGTCCAAAATATAGCAGCCAGATATATTATGACAAATGGCACACATTTTACATTGCATTTAAATGTTACTTAATGTGAAATTATGATAACTTTTGATCATTGAACTCAGCCATTTCAGTAATCCTTGACTTGAATATTTAGAAAACTTGTTTTTGATCCATCCTTATTTACATCAGGTTTAGCATTCAGAATGGCTGGTCTTTAATTCTGAAAATTGTAACATGTGGAAAACCTATTAAAAAGAAATATTTCATAAGAGACCATGAATTAAATCAAGTCAAAGAAAGCATGATCATTGACATTTACAATTTTTGTAAAAACAAACACCTGTTATGATTGTTTTCAAATCAAGTCGAGCATTTTGTCTGGCCGGAAATGTGCAGACAAGCAAAGTGAGATGACGCTGCCTTCCAGCTGTTGACAATATTATACGATAAAACTTACATGCAACATTTCTTGAATTTCATTGCTGACTATATTTTATGACATTAACATACAATCATACATTTCCCTTTACAGCGAGCGATAAGACATTTTAATGGAGAAAAATGCTAATTGCAAAATATGAATAATAAAAAAGCACAAGAGATGGAAGAAACCACTCAGAAATAGTTTTGAATTAATTCATAATATTTTATTCCTATAAATATTATTATTCATTTTTCTTGTCACTGTATTCTTGGAAATTATCAATTATAAAATGCCTCGTTCAGTTGTGTTTAATGCACGTCTAACTTTTGTATCTTTTCACATAATTTGCTGAGGGTTAAACCTAGTACATGTATAATGAATATCAGTATTCAATTCTTATCATTTGATTTATTGAATGTGTTCATGATCATATAAGTTTTAAATTTGAAGTCTACCTGGTTGAACACATACATGTACTCATTTCCCAGTTTGATTTTCAATCTGATTGGTACATGTTAAATCCAGCAGTGCACGTTAAATCCAGCGCACAATCAGATGATTTGTTCATTTTACTCTTAAATCTCATTGGTCAGACTCCTTTTAAACTATAATTATTGGCCCTTAATTGACTACTAATGAGGTTGACTGCTCAGCTTCTATTTCCCTAATATATAAGATATTAGCATAATGTAGGCTGGATAAGATGATATCTCATTCATCAGAATCCTCAATCTATGACAAATTAATGATTATTTACAAAGTAAATAGTTTTTAATAGCATAGCGACATCTTTATTATCTTACTATAACTGATTATTAGCGCATGCGTATGTTCATTCGATTTACACTTAGTCATAGTTGAGTAAAGCTTTTTTGAAGTTTTTGAAGAACCGTATAATGGATACTAATAGTGATATAGAAACGCAAGGAGCTAAGCCAAGGTGTTGCAGCACTTGTGGTAACACGGTCAGGGGACATAACGGACCGTATGGCCCGAAATGTACGAATTATCAGACAGAGGGAAACGCCCAGTCAAAAATTGAAACACCAGATTCGACTGACACGTCATCAGGGATCGTAAGTGATAATCAACCATCAGCGTCTTGGATAACTAATGCAATAATGACAATGAATGACCAAATTTCGAACCTATCAATGGTAACATCAAATCTGAAAGAAGGTCAGGATAACCTTCGTGAATTAATGGAAGGTATAATACAACAGCGTAACCTCCCTGACCCTAATATGGGGGTTGTTCCAACAGTACAAGGGGCCACAGCACAAAATGCACCTCAACAATCCAACCCAACCCCTGATACAATTCCACCAGTGAACGATAATAGGGTTTCCTACGAAGGCTGTACAATGGGGGTGCCAGTTAAAGTTACCAATAAAATAATTGCTGGTGAGTACGTGAATTTGGTGGATTTGCTCCCAACAAACCTATATCATCATCAATCAGTTGACAATCAATGGCAAAATGAACAAGTATTATGTTCGGATAACGGTCAACTCAAATTACAAAAGAAAAACAAACAAACACAAGTACAATCATTTTTATCATGGAATACAGCATGGAATGTCTATGAAATGATTATTATGGAGCACAACCCCAGCGCCTATTCTGATCTGAGAACATATAGAGCACACATTCAGGAATGCGACAAGAAATTTCAATGGTCAGCTGTATCACAATATGACATCCGTTTTAGACTGAAATTAGGGGCCGCAAAATCATTTGCGTTTGGTAATTTGGATACATTCTTATATACCACTATATTAGACGCATCTGCAGTCAAACATGTTGCCATTAAGTGTTACAGGTGTAAAGGAGATCATCAAGTGTCTAAATGTCCATTTCTCGAGACGAATAAGGTGGAGACGGCGGAGAAAAATGAGAAACCGAAAGGCACAGGAAATATTAGTGGAGAAATTTGTAACAAATTCCAAACTGGAGAATGTACCTTCGGAAATCGTTGTTTTAGAAAACACGTCTGCAAAAATTGCAAAGTTGGCCTGTTGCCATACGCCAAATGTGATTGTTCAAAGTAAGACAGAGATAAGTCCCTATAATCCTTTGAATGTTATATATTTCGAAAATAAGTTGAAATCTCATCCTGATCGTGAATTTGTAAATAATATAATACAGGGTGGTACATTTGGAGTTAATCTTGGCTACACAGGACCTCGGGGTCCAAGAATTCATAAAAATTGGAAATCAACACAAACATATAGCGAAGCCGTGGAGGCTAATATACTCAATGATTTGAAAATAGGTCGTAAAGCAGGACCGTTTATCACACAACCTTTTTCTAATTTCGTCGGCTCTCCGATGGGCGCATACGCTAAAAAGCGCTCGGTTCCTGTAAAGTACAGGATTATACATGATTTGTCATGGCCTCCAGGTGGCGCTATAAACGATTTTATATAAACGATTAAATATAATTAATATATTAATTAAATATAAAATTATAGGGTTTTGGGCAGAAATTTTAGCCTGATATTCCAAGGTATGAAAATATCCATCCTCCGATCACAGGGCTTCAAAATCCAGAATACTTCTTTCTTTTAACCCCCTGCGATAAGCAGTTAGCATTTCCCCGATTATTAACTGAATGGCTGTTGCAACACTGCGACAGGAATCGTGTATAAGTCATCGCGCATAATTAGATCACATGATTCAGTTTAATAGGGCACTTCCAAATTGGTTATAGCAGGGGGAAGAAGGAGGTACGGATTCTGGACACCTGTTTAGGAGGATAGAAAATATCATACCTTGGAAATCCAAGATGGGTTGAACAAACAGAAGAGTACTTTTAAAATTAAATTGTATTTTGTAGACTACGGAGAATCACACATTATAAGTACAGGATATCTCGGAGTAATAAATTTCTCTTAAGCACACATCCTTTGACAAATGAACCTGTTCCTCCCTCTATTACAATCTGTTTTGACAATTGCAGTTTTCTTTTTCTTTGGTGTGTAACTAAAAGCATAACACTTTGGTCTTCGTGGTGGTGGTCCACCTGGTCCTTCTTCACATTCTAAAAAACAATTATATTTCATTGTCTATAATTTAGTGTGTGTATTCATCCCTTTCATTGATATTATTGGGAAACTCATTGCTGAAGGCAAGAAAGCATGTTATTATATTACATTATATTATATGAAATGGGGTCTACTCTGAAAACATTTAGGAAATGGGTTTTATTTGTGTGAAATCAGCAAGAGATGCTCATTCAGCTAACCTGACCTGATAACCAACCAAGCATGTCCTAGCCCCCCCCCCCTCCCTCCCCTTGGCATGCCATTTCCATCTCTACATGTCATAAAGTGAAGCATTTGTTGAATGTATGTCAGCTAAACCTGACCTGATAACCAACCAAGCATGTCCTAGCCCCCCCCCCCTCCCCCTTGGCATGCCATTTCCATCTCTACATGTCATAAAGTGAAGATTCTTGTTGAATGTATGTCAGCTAAACCTGACCTGACAACCCAACCATGTCCTAGTCCCTCCCCCCCCCCCATTGGCATGCCATTCTCATCTCATGAAGTGAAGCATCTTGTTGGACGTTTAATGAATGAATCACATTTGGTCAGATTCATCACCTAAAAACAGACTCCTCTTCAAATGAAAGGCCTTATTTTCTTACCTCCACAGCCCAGTGGTTCAGGAAAACCTTTGAATGTAATGTCTGGATCTACGCCACATGACCAGAATTGTATTGCTTTTCTCCCTTGGTACCCTAAATATAAAAAAGTAGACTACACTTTGCATGTAGTATTGAAGCAGCTTGATCACAACAGCAATACTGATCGAGAGAAATTCCATCAAGACTTTTGACCCCCCCCCCCCTTGCCCTTCCCCCCATCCTGTGAACTTCACTCACTGTAGGAAGGGGGTCACAGGCAGGGCCTTGAATAAGACTAATTAGAATATTATGCTTTAATTTCAACAGTTTTTGATATTTCATACCTTGATCTTTGAGGAATGTCTTTATATCTTCCAAACATTGGTCATTGGTCCAGCGCACAAGATGTGCTCCATCAAAGTTACATCTTTCCTCAGCCTCTTCTCTCGTCACTTCATCTCCACGCTTCTCATCATAGACCTTTATACAGCCAGCCTAGCAGAGAGGTAACATTCGAATTTAACTATCAACATGTACATGGAGACCCTTCTGAAGTCAACAGCTCAAAATATGAACATTTTTCAATTCAATTTAGGAGTATCTAATGGGTTTTCTATAATCTGCATTTTTGAAACTTAATCACTACACTTCAGTCAGGTAGCTGTAGAGATTACTAAGGGGCCCCAAAGATATATTTCGGCAAGTTTTGGACAACCTCTCAATAATATGGTCTAATTTAAGGCCCATTTTCTCGAAAATGACATCTTGAAATGAAATCACTTACATCTTGTCCACAGGATGTACAGCTACTAGATATATACTTGTAGCCATCCTGGCCACATAAACATTGTAGTGGTGCTAAACCAGCAGTTGTGCTCTCTGTCGTGCTCTGGGTGGTAGGAGGTGTAATAGTTACACTGATGGTAGATGCTAGTTGAAGGATTTTGTCAGTCTCATCGTCGCACCACCTGCGCCTCTGTTTTACCCGATTTGTCCAGTTACAATCACTTGCGTTTGCATACAGGATGCATGCTACTAGGGCTGTTAATATCAACAATGGCTTTCCACTCATCTGTAAAAGGGCATTACAGGAAATTATTTAATTTAGTCATTTGATTTTCAATATCTGGCAGAGGAGTTGGGCATGTTTCAATGAGCGAGTACAATGTACGGTACATGTAATATGTTATAAGTCTGAAGGAGACTGAAATCAAGACAAGTTGCTCACCTTCTTTGTTTCTTTCCACGTTTAATAAAAAAAATTATGCCATTAGTTAAATAGGAAATTGCAGTTATTGGAAAATATCGGAAAATGTTCTTCAAATATTTAATTGAATTATTAATAAAAATCCTTCAAGTATATTATATTTACTTACCTTTTTGTATTGGTGTTTCCCGCTAAAGCATTAAAACCCAATATGACATTCTTATGTGTATGAATACTAAATAATGAAGTTATATGTGAAATCACAAATTGCACTCTGTATGTCATGTCGAGCTCATTTATAAACTGATTAATTTTATTTTTATTAATTTAAAAGTGCTATGTTGTCTATGATAGATGGGTGTGTGAAATGATAGTCAGCAATAAAATTTAGTTTATAAGGGTATTCAGCCTATATATGGAGAGGTCTACAATTGCATAATGGAGCATGGTATAATTCCCCTACCCCAAAAACAATGCAAAATTGATACTAATTTCCAAATTGTTTCATGCAGACTTTCTTTTTTATAACTGTGTTATGTTACTAATAAACATGTAAATGAAAATTTTATCTCTATTTTCAGTATGGGGTTATGGGTTCCTATGCGTGACAGGAGTTGTTTTGTCTGGTCTATTAGGACGAGCTTTCTTTGTTGGAATTGCCAACCCCAAGATCTACTCCATGCTACTGATGGGTATGGTATCCCTGGCTATTGGGGTTCTCACTGGGATGGGGCTTCTCTTCCTTATACCTGAGGTAAATATACACTTTTCTGATATTTCTTATTTATGTTTTCACTTGTTTATATGTCGACATCCCTGCTCCTACCTTTGCTTTATTTTGGAAAATAGCCTTTTGTAGTCAAAATAGCAAAATTGAAAGAATCACCATGTGAGTCTAATACATTGTGCCACTTATGTGAGTTAGTGGTATTTCTTTGAATATTGATTTCAATTTGCAAGAACATGCCAACTTTGAACTAGTGATGTTATGTTTAAGTTACATACTGATTTTTTATGATAATTTAATAATAAATGTTGTACATTTCCTTTAACATGCATTTGCTTTCATTTAGAACCAATTTTTTTCAGCTGATATATTAAAATCTATCTCCATTCAAGCTTGTTATTGAGTGATCTCGGAATGGTTTTTTTAATGTGATAGCGTATAATACCTTTGTATTTTCATACAAATTAATTTTCCCATAAAACTAAATTGGCATGCACATTACATGCAATAACCAGAAAAGAAAAATTATGAAAATCAAATGTCTTGCTTTTTCTTTTTCTTTCTCTTTTGTAGTCCATGTACATCTATTCAGAAAATGTTTAATTACAGGCACTAGGTCTACCTCATTTGTTCCATGGCTCCACTGAGTTTATATGGAAGCTGACCTGTGTTGCTGGAGGCCTATATTTCCTCTTTATATTTGAGAGAGTCATCAAGCTGATTAAGCATGCAAAACAGGTATGTGGAATTCAAAATAGAAAGTAGTCATCAATGGTCTACATTAATTATGTCAAAGAAGTTTTAATAGAGAGGTTAAGCAAGACGATTTTTTATGACGTGAACTGCAAACGTAAACCAATACATTCCCATTTACGTTCTATTAACAAAAGTGCTTTAAGCTAAGCACTTTAGATACTGAGCAAACATAAACCTCAAAATGGCCTTTTCTTTTTGCTTGCGACCTTTATGTTCCGTTTTCTACTTTAAAAGTATAAAAACATTATTCTAATGACAAACTGATGAAAGTGTTTAACAAAGGAGATGTTTTATAGTCTGACAGTGTTTATGATTTTTGAATCTTACAAGATATAACAGGACAGGGTCAATTGATTGAAGAAACACAATATGTATTGTGGATTTTAAATGAGTTGACATGTGAGCAATCGCCATGTATGTAATCTCAGGAGATTTTACATACAAAATGGTCGCCTTGGTGCTCAATATTTGATTAGATTGGACACAAATGGTCTCGCGATATACACAGATTTGTGTCAAACATATTGATGCATTTGACTTATAATCATATCTATCTCGATTGAGCTTGATAAAGTTCTCTAAATTCTTTATGGAACCACCTACCTAGACTTTGATTTCTTACATTGCGATGAACATAAACTGGGGAAACAAGTAGATTAATATGACGTCATGCCCTGAAAAAAACCTGCAGATGCCTTCCCGTTTACGGTTTACATTGTAAAAAATAGTGTTGCTTAATCTCTCTATTATGTACTCTGATTTTACTTTGCTTTTGGAAAGCTGATGATTATTACTTTTCCTCGTTAATCTGTGAAATCTATATTCCACTTTTTGATGAAGGTTGAAACACTTAAACTTGCATTATCTTTAAATCACTAGATGTTGAAGGGTTTATCCATAACGATTTTTAATATTTTTTAGAAGAAGAAGAACAAGTTCGTAGAGGTGCCTAGCAATGGTGATGTCACACAGAGGCTTGTGAATCATAACCAATCAGAAGCCAGCTTTGCCACAATGACCACAATGGTACCTGAAATCACAATACAAGTTCCAAATGGTGCCAATGGTGATGTGAAAAAAATGGTGAGATATCCCCCTTTGAAAACATATCCAGTGTAATATAGAAGGGGGGGGCATAAACCCCGAGGAACTTTTCCCTTTTACACCCAGAGGAGCAGCTTGTTTTAAGATAGTAACTTTAAAGGTTCACTTCTAAAACTTATAGATAAAAAATGTTGTCTGTAACAATTGACATTTTACAATAATTTACCAAGTGCTGACATTTTGTTGTGTTAATGTTCGGGAAAGCATTACACAGGTGGAGCACCACAGAGCTTATAATTATAATCATTTATTTGCCTGTATTTATAGAGGACTAGCTTGGAGATACATTTAATGTGATTTCTCAATATTTTAGGAAGTTGATGATACGGAGGTAGATGAGAAGAAAGGAATCAAGTCTCTTGAGAAGGATGAGATAGACACTGTAGCCTGGGTGCTGATTCTGGGAGATGCCATGCACAACTTTGTAGATGGGGTCACTATAGGAGCAGGCTTTGCACAAAGTATCCTCACTGGTGTAGGTCTGGCTGTGTGTATCATGTGTGAACATGTACCTCATAAGATAGGTAGGTTGTAATTGGGTATTTACTCATCTTTTGTTTTGTATTGAGTCTCAAAGTTTGAAACACAAAACTCCTATGTAAGTGTGGTCTTGCGGAATGGTTATGTGGATTCCATCCAATTGGTTCATTTATAAATCTTGATATTCTCATTTAGTATGTTTTATTTTGTTTGTTGTCCCAACTAGCCCCAAAGTGTATTTCTATTTTATATATTAATGTCAGAGTTTCATCAGCAGCAATTTCTCCCAGTCATTTTTACCAGAATCATTTACATCTTAAAATGATAATTTTCAATAATTAGCCTGTTGTTTTTTTTCATTCAATTTGCCTTTTGTCAGAAATTCATTTAAACCCACTGCATTTATTGATTTACTTTTTACAGGTGATTTTGCCATCTTGCTGAATGCAGGGATGAGTCTTCGTATGGCAGTCGTCTACACCCTCCTCACAGGGATAATGAATTATCTAGGTCTGGTAGTTGGTATTCTAGTTGGAGAACTCACTGATGCTACTACCTGGCTGTTGGCCATAGCAGGGGGAATATTCCTCTATATCGCCCTTGTTGATATGGTAGGTCAATCCTATCTTTTTCAAAATGATCATTTTTCAAAGTCAAGTTGGAAGAGAAAGTCCACAATGAAATACAGGTGCCATTTTGTACTGTATTTAAAAATAGATGTCACTCTACTGGTGAGATCCAGTTCTTAACCTTGCTCTTTGAACTATATTCATTTATTTAATATTGCAGTTACCAGAGATCAGTGAACAAGCTGAGGAGGAAGATTCCTTGAGGGAGAAGATCAAAATTTTCATCATACAGAATGTTGGCATTCTGATTGGCTACGGCATCATGATTATTGTTGCCCTGTTCGCTGGAGATATCAGCTTTGAGTGAGACATGGAATATCAGATATGGGTTTAGATAAGTCAGTGTTACCTTCAGCATTATTTGCCTCGGTTATTTTCCTTTTCAAATCATATGCAGGGTTATTTAGGAACTGTTTATTTTGCATATTACAATATAAGTATCATTAAAGTAGACTTGCCTCAAGTCACTGAACCCCCCACTCTCTATCTATTGTATAGTGTGGGATCAAGAGGGCTCCAGGCAAGACTAGAAGTAAAAGGCAATGGAATTTCACAAATTATAAATCACAATGTTTCAAGAAGCAGCTTCCAGTTAATAAGTTAAGAAGGTTTATCAAGTGAAACATAACAAATATCATTCATAAACCAGGTGATGCTAGTAGTCTTGCTCCTAGCCTTTATGCTACTTCCTCTATTTTCTTTAATCCAGTGTGAGGGAGTGGATATTCAGAACAGGGGAAGGAAGTCAAAAGACTTAATGCAAAGAAATACAAAAAGAGAAAAATGTATTGAAAGTATAGTGAGAATGTGATATATAAAGGGTAGAACAGCTTTCTAAAAGAAAACGTAAGAACTTGAGCTTAAGAATTAAACTAGTCTTTATGAGTTGTATGCATTAATCAGCTGTATTCAATTTACAAATTACGATCATATTAACTCAAATATGAAATGAAATAAACTGGAAGTCAGAAAAGATCTTGCCAATACAGTCTAGTGCAGACCATCAAGAAAAGTTGCCTTATTGAATAATCAGTAAATGGCGCATTTAGGCTTTTTCTGGAGTCTTTGTGTTTGATTGACTACAATCTATGATTTTCAAAAAACAAGATCAATGCAACAGCCTCCTGGAAGCTATATTTACACTGGTTCTGGTAGATATGTAAACACTAATGATTATTTTATAAACACTGAATATAATAAACGCTGACAAATATTCAAACACCGAATATACTGTACAAACATTATAAACACTGACAAGTGTATATGTAATTGCTCAATCAAAAGGTGCATTTCGACATGGAATGTCAAATGATATTTTAAGTTGCAGCAAAATTGGAATATTTCGGCATTGATTGTCAAATATTTCCAAATGATTTGCAATCATTGTGATATCAGTGACTGGTCACTATATTGAAAACAGTGATTCAATCTTTAACATTTTTTTATACTGTATTTAATTAATGTAAGCCAAACATCAGAATGAAGCAGGCTCATATGTCTGTAAATTTGCTGATGAGATGGTTCATGTACTCCCTATACAAAGTGAGCGCAAATGGTTGTAGTAAACAAAGATGCAACAACAAAAATCAAATAAAAATAAAACCACAAATTTTATAAGTCATATTTGCTTGATACTAGATGATTATTACATCAAATTTCATGCTATGTTACAGGTGGAAGATATTAAATTCTACATGTCGTGTGTTTTCAATGTAATCAGATGCGTAGTTCTGACGGAAATCCATTAACCTCTTGAATCCCAGGCTCTTAAATCAGTTGAAACCAGAGAATTCATCATTTTTGCCACCTTTTGACATTTTACTACATAACTACACAACTTTATATGCTCAACTTAAATGTAAAATTAGATGGCAGAGATCATTTCTACACACTTTAAATTGTGTAAATTAGATGAAGATTATTCAAATAAGAGCAATTTTAGTGAACAATTTTGTGACAGATTTTCTTGTCACTGGGTTTCAAGGTCATTTCTGAGGTGACGAGGAATCTCATCACTCCAGGTAGTCGAAAGGTTAAAGATTAATTTAAATAGGCCGCATTTGTCAGCTCAGTTCAATTTTGTTATTCTTGTTTAATTTTTGCCAGCATGTCTCGTCTTTACCACAACCATTCGATTTAGAAACGCTCACTAAGTATAGGGTGATACAGAAATTAAGATTAGAAAAAGAATCTTCAATTGTACACATAAACAGCATACACAACAGTATTTTGCATAGCCCTAAGAGATATGATGGGTTATTGTTGGATTTGGATTTGATTTGAGGATTTGTATTTGGGGCTATGGTGTAGACTGGCCATGTTTATCTACTTCAAAAGGGCTTGCTTAGTTGTTAGCCTCTTGGAGAGTATCACCGTAATAGGCAGTTAATAGCATTACAATTCTAAAGCAACAGTTCTTCAAGTGACATACTAATAATCCAATGCAAAGTATTACCTCAATGAAAACCATGTTAAAATCATATTTTGCCTGATTGTATTTTGTGCTAATATGTAATTTGTATGTAATCATATGTCATTCTTCTCAGTTTTTTGCAAATTAAAAAATTAGGAATTTGGCAAATGAAAAATGGTAATCACTGAATTGAATTAAAATAAGTATGAAAATACATGTACTACAATAGTTACCATGATGATTCATCAAATCAAGTTTCTAAAAATCTGTTCAAAAATTGAAATTCCGTCCACACAAACTGAAAACTGAGAGGACTGATATACTGTTATAACATGCATTATACTATAATACCTGTATTTTCTGTATTTATACAGTGATTGAACCAATGATGTACAATAACATGTAGGAGTATAATACCAAATAAATGGTTCTATTTTTATATATTTTTGTCTGTGAAAGAATCACAACAAAAATATCATTACTCTGATTCTTGATGTTTTGGTATTTTGTGTGTGACAGTGTTCGCAACAAAATCATTTACATTTTTATGTCCCCACCACATAGTGTGGGGCCATATTGTCGGCCTAGGCGCGTCCGTCCGTCCGTCTGTCTGTCTGTCTGTTTGTCTGTCTGTCCGTCCGTCCGTACGTCCGTACGTCCGGCAGTTTTCTCCTAAACCGCTACAGATATCACCTTCAAATTTTCAGGGGTAACTAATGAGTACATACAGATGTGGATGAAAATTTTTTAACTCTATATCTACTTCCTGTCGGCCATTTTGAAGTCAAATGCTAAAATCCTTGTCTGCAAACTTAAAGAAAAACAGCTTCACAGTTGCTTTTAAAACGTTAATATCTTGTTCAGCTCACTTCATTCTACATCTGATTAGGTTTTGGACCTGTTAGCTCAGTCATGTCAGCCATTTTGAATATCTTAAGAAAAGTTAGCGCGCGATAATACTTTGTGTCATATTGAATGGTGTTTTTGAGTTTTCATACTTTAAATATTTTGTAGCTTTATAAATAATTTCAGGTGTACTTTGTTGTAAAAGCCTATGTTATTGTTAACAGTGGTTATATGTGACAATTTTGTAAAAGGAAATCAGCAAAAACTCATAATCACTTTTTTGTTGTCGGCCATTTTGGATTTTTCTGTCCTCAAATCTTATCTGTAAAGTCTTGTCTGCGCGTTTTCAGCTGAACCGTTTGGTAGATCAATTTCACATTTTCAGGGATGATTCTTAGTATGAAAATCTAGATCTGATTAGGTTTTTGGCGTTCTGGGTAAATGTCAAGGCAGCCATTTTGGATTTTCCATCCTAAAATCTTGTCTGTAAAGTCTTGTCTGCGCATTTTCAGCTGAACAGTTTGGTAGATCAATTTCACATTTTCAGGGATGATTCTTAGTATGAAAATCTAGATCTGATTAGTTTTTTGGCGTTCTGGGTAAATGTCAAGGCAGCCATTTTGGATTTTCCGTCTTAAAATCTTGTCTGTAAAGTCTTGTCTGCGCGTTTTCAGCTGAACCGTTTGGTAGATCAATTTCACATTTTCAGGGATGATTCTTAGTATGAAAATCTAGATCTGATTAGGTTTTTGGCGTTCTGGGTAAATGTCAAGGCAGCCATTTTGGATTTTCCGTCCTAAAATCCTGTCTGTAAAGTCTTGTCTGCGCATTTTCAGCTGAACAGTTTGGTAGATCAATTTCACATTTTCAGGGATGATTCTTAGTATGAAAATCTAGATCTGATTAGTTTTTTGGCATTCTAGATAAATGTCAAGGCAGCCATTTTGGATTTTCCGTCCTAAAATCTTGTCTGTAAAGTCTTGTCTGCGCGTTTTCAGCTGAACCGTTTGGTCGATCAATTTCAAATTTTCAGGGATAATTTTTAGTATGAAAATCTAGATCTGATTAGTTTTTTGGTGTTCTGAATATTCAGTCAAGGCAGCCATTTTGGATTTTCCGTCCTAAAATCTTGTCTGTAAAGTCTTGTCTTCGCGTTTTCAGCTGAACCGTTTGGTAGATCAATTTCACATTTTCAGGGATGATTCTTAGTATGAAAATCTAGATCTGATTAGGTTTTTGGCGTTCTGGGTAAATGTCAAGGCAGCCATTTTGGATTTTCTGTCCTAAAATCTTGTCTGTAAAGTCTTGTCTGCGCGTTTTCAGCTGAACCGTTTGGTAGATCAATTTCACATTTTCAGGGATGATTCTTAGTATGAAAATCTAGATCTGATTAGTTTTTTGGCGTTCTGCGTAAATGTCAAGGCAGCCATTTTGGATTTTCCGTCTTAAAATCTTGTCTGTAAAGTCTTGTCTGCGCATTTTCAGCTGAACTGTTTGGTCGATCAATTTCAAATTTTCAGGGATGATTCTTAGTATGAAAATCTAGATCTGATTAGTTTTTTGGCGTTCTGGATAAATGTCAAGGCAGCCATTTTGGATTTTCCGTCCTAAAATCTTGTCTATAATTTTTAGGTATGTTTTGTGGTATGAAATATAACACCTGATTGTTACATTTTTGGGAAGCTTGGTAGATTTTAAGGTTGCTGTCTTTAAAATCTTGTCTCTTCATTGGTGGGGACATGTTGTACACTTTTGTGTTCTTGTAATATTTTTACAATAATATTGTTATAATTTTTAAATGATTATAATGTTATTGCTACTTGTTAATTTTTGCTAATTCTGTACATGATTTTGTGTGTACTATATCTGTGTCTATGGCAGGGTCCATAACACATTTTACTGTAAGTATTAAGTATTGTATGTATTGAAAAATGTATGCATTGTATATTGTTCAAAATAGTATAAAACCTAGAATTACAAGAATATAATTTGTATGATATAGATCAGGAAATTTTATAAATGTTAGGGTCCTCTTTTCCTTAATTTACAATAACTTTGTTATTCCGATACATGTACTATTAATTTTCTAAGGGTCTCCTACGATGCATTGTAACTGGTACCTGAATTAGTAAATGTAATACATATATTTACATACTATATGTTATAAATATTGTACATCTCCACAGAACATGCATGCCAACCTGTGTTCGTTGGACTTGAACCAAAGAAGAATACCGAACTTGTAAAATTAGATAGATCTCTATGAAAAGTAATCAATTAATTAATAAATTATTATTATTGATAATTAATTAATTAATTAATTATCAATTAAATCCCTTAGACGCATGTCTAAGATTAAGTATGGCTAGTAATAGTTGTAGTATAGTATTGTCTATAGTTTAATAGAAATATTTGTAGAGATGAAAACTTTCAAGAAGTAAGGGTGTTATTATTTGGATTTTTGTAGACTAGTCTTCTTGTAGTATATGTGCTGTAGCAACTTTGTTTATTTTTTTATTAATGTTATTAATTCAGACAGTGCAAGTTCATGTAGTTAACATATACTAATAAAACATATGATTATAAATGTGTTATAAACATTGGCAATTTACTGTAGTAACCTAAAAATTCAAACAGTTCACTTGCTAGAGTAATGGGTGGTAGAAAAAGGTGTGTAATTAGGATTTGTGATGGTTTAACCACTTACAAGACTTCAGTACTAAAACTGTGAAGCATAATATTATGGGAGAAAAAATCTGTTGCCTAACCTATTTTTGATATAAACTGAATATGAAGACAGTATTTAAGTCATTTTTATACCACTACCATTTTGTTTTTATTCGTCACTTTATTTGTGAGTAGTAATAAGTAAATATAGGAGCTTGGTGTTCACAGCCTGTGTTACACTTCTAGAGTTACATTAAGTGGTAACATTTTGTCATGTTTATTCCTTGTTGATCTCTTCACAAGTGAGAAAAAGAATTTTTGGATTCCTTTATCCATATAACCTATGGCCTGTCTCAGAAGGAAATTACATTTTTTCTGTAGAAAATATATCCATCATTGGATTTCTGGCTTTTAATGTTGTGAGCAAGTTATGTACGTTTCAACTACATGTAATTTGTAACAATTGATGAAAAATGATACATCAGTGAATGTATTTCACTTGGTGAGATATTGTATATTCTAATACATGTAGTTTGTTTCTTGTCTTGTCAGCACAGTTTTATCACAAAAATCTTTGGGTTCTACTTAGGGACAAGGTCAGTATATCAATGTTTGCCTTCAAATAATACACAAGGATCATCCAAGAAGTCTTGAATTTTTTTCTGTAATCCAAAGAATTCTGATCTTTTGTTGCTAAAACTTTGTAAAACATTCAATTAGCCCTCATATAATATCATGTTACTAGAATACTGTGTGTGTTATGGTTACTATAGTTACATGGTGTAAGAGGGTGGGAGCAGTGTAATTCTTCATCGGAGATTATAGAGGCTCTCACATGATGTGGGTAAAAAAGGGGCTAAAAGTCCTTATTGATTATCATTTAGATTTCTTTTAAAGGAAGCAACATTGAAATATTAATCTGGGGGTCATTAACAGAAACTTTTTATTCTTAAATCAATTGTTGTAACCATGGATATAATGACTTCACAGTAAGAGAACAATGGCTTTTACGAATTCTTAACTTTACAAAGTTTCTGTTAATGGCCCCCAGGTCCCTTAAAGGTGTGTATAGTTATTATATGTAGTACTAGTTAAGTGGTGTGGGGAAGATTTACAAGTCAACAGCAGTGTCTGTTACATTTTACGCAATTTTTATGATTTTTATATAAAATTGTCTATCACAGTGATGATAACAATGCTCAGGCATATACTATATACATGTATACAGTTTGTTAAGTTGATGCTAGTAATAAATAGTGTACATTTAAAACAATCTTTGTTAGTGATATGCTAGGCTAGGATAGAGGAAGGTTGGAGAATGGTTTATTAATAACGTTTTTGTCAACATGATGTAGGATATTGTGGGCTAAACATCATTCTCCATCCTGGTATGCAGGGCCCCAGATATTATACTCTGAATTCAAGGAACAGAGTGGATGATGTCTGGAACTCTTTATTTAGAGTCTGAAACTCACTATTACATTCAGATATTTTTTCAATATATTTCATCTACAGCATTTTGTTGGTGGATACATGTTAAGCCACCCTAGCAATATTTCATGATGTGTAAATCAAAATTTTTGTATAATCATAACAATGCCCTTTTTTATGTCCCCACCACATAGTGTGGGGCCATATTGTCGGCCTAGGCGCGTCCGTCTGTCCGTCCGTCCGTCTGTCCGTACGTCCGGGAGTTTTCTCCAAAACCGCTACAGATATCACCTTCAAATTTTCAGGGATAACTTATGAGTGCATACAGATGTGGATGAAAAAATTTTAACTCAATACCTACTTCCTGTCGGCCATTTTGAAGTCAAATGCTAAAATCCTTGTCTGCAAACTTTAAGAAAAACGGCTTCACAGTTGCTTTTAAAACTTTAACATCTTGTTCAGCTCACTTCATTCTAGATCTGATTAGGTTTTGGACCTGTTAGCTCAGTCATGTCAGCCATTTTGAATGTCTTAAGAAAAGTTAGCACACGATAATACTTTGTATCATATTGAATGGTGTTTTTGAGTTTTCATACTTTAACTATTTAGTAGCTTTATAAATAATTTCAGATCTACTTTGTTGTAAAAGCCTATGTTATTGTTAACAGTAGTAATATGTGATAATTTTGTAAGAAGAAATCAGCAAAAACACATAATCACTTTTTTATTGTCGGCCATTTTGGATTTTTCCGTCCTAAAATCTTGTCTGTGAAGTCTTGTCTATGTGTTTTCAGGTGAACCGTTTGGTGGATCAATTTCAAATTTTCAGGGATGATTCTTAGTATAAAAATCTAGATCTGATTTGTTTTTTGGCATTCTGGGTAAATGTCAAGGCAGCCATTTTGGATTTTCCGTCCTAAAATCTTGTCTGTAAAGTCTTGTCTACGCGTTTTTAGGTGAACCGTTTGGTAGATCAATTTCAAATTTTCAGAGATGATTCTTAGTATGAAAATGTAGAATTGATTAGTTTTTTGGCATTCTGGGCAAATGTCAAGGCAGCCATTTTGGATTTTCTGTCCTAAAATCTTGTCTGTAAAGTCTTGTCTATGCATTTCCAGGTGAACAGTTCTGGATATCAATTTCAAATTTTTAGGGATGATTCTTAGTATGAAAATCTAGATCTGATTAGTTTTTTGGCATTCTGGATAAATGTCAAGGCAGCCATTTTGGATTTTCCATCTTAAAATCTTCCCTGTAAAGTCTTGTCTACGCGTTTTTAGGTGAACCGTTTGGTAGATCAATTCCAAATTTTCAGGGATGATTCTTAGTGTGAAAATCTACATCTGATTATTAGTTTTTTGGCATTCTGTGTAAATGTCATGGCAGCCATTTTGGATTTTCTGTCCTAAAATCTTGTCTGTAAAGTCTTGTCTACGCGTTTTCAGGTGAACCATTTGGTAGATCAATGTCATATTTTCAGGGATGATTCTTAGTATGAAAATCTACAGACAGATTAGTTTTTTGACATTCTGGGTAAATGTCAAGGCAGCCATTTTGGATTTTCCATCCTAAAATCTTGTCTGTAAAGTCTTGTTTACATGTTTTCTAGTTAACTGTGTGACGGATCAATTAAAATTGTGTTGGTAAAGTCTTGTCTACTCATTTTCAGGATAACCATTTCATGGGATCACCCATTGGTGGGGACATTTTGTACACATTTGTGTTCTTGTTAATTCATGGGATAATGACACGTCATGATCCAGTTTTGACCAATCATACAATTGCAAGCTTGACAGTGATAGTATTTTTCATTGCAATATTATATTCAGTGTTATTGGCTGAACAGTTAGAGTAACTGAATATGAGACATGTGTTAACATTTTGTTTTTTGCCCTTTGAGTATGCCGCTAAGGTCATTGGCCTATTGTTGTCTAATGTCTACTGTATGAATCTTTTAAGTACAACTTGAGACTATATATACTTAGTGCAGTATCTAAAGTTCCTTCATTATATAGCTCTCATTCAATGTCACATACATTATCTTGTAAAAAAAATCTAATCTTTTTTTCTGCTTGGCTTTTTCAAAATTCTTTCTATACATGTATATACTAAATGCAGTAATCTAAAGTTCCTTCATTGTATAGAACTCGTTCAAGTTAATGTCACATGCATTATTATCTAAAGTAAAATGTAAAATATTTTTTGTGCTTGTCTTTTTCAAAATTGAATTTTATTGTGCAATTCAAAAAGTTTGGATTGTTTATAATTCCTGATTTATTGCATCATAAATACTGTATGAGTATTTATTACATATCAGTATTACTGTACCTGTATCTTTGTAACTATTGCCTTTCTAGGGTGCCAAAATTGGGGATTTCTAATATTACCCATGAAAAAGTGTTTGGTCCAAAAAGGAATTCCATGGATTTTAAAAAAATTGGGCCATATTTTTTTAAAGTTGGCCTTACCCGAAATGTCAATTTTCTGCTGACTTATTCTACATTTCTGCTTCATAATATGATTGGGGTGAGAATACTTATCACATTTCTGACATTTTCATGGGACATATGGGATACCTGCATGTCAATAAAATAAAATGTTATTGGGCAATCAGCTTATCATTGTTAGCTCAAGTGTTTTTGAGACAGCTACATTTGGATGGGAGGGATGGACCAATGTTAAAGTTCCCCAGTGAATAAAGTTTCTCATGATGTCCAGAGTGAAATCATTTATCAAAATTGTTTGTTCCATGTGGATAATCCTTTTATTAGAAGATGTTCATAAATGTAACTCATAAATTTTGTTTTTTACAAAAATCATTTTTTAATTCCACTTATCTTAAATGATAAAATATGTTCAGACTACAAGATATTTAAAACACTTGGACTGTATTTCTTTTTCAAACTCGAAATTATCAGCACAAAACAGAAAACTGTTAAAATGACACTTGTCAAACTATTAGTGTACACATGCCTTCATCAGCTGTTTGTATCATCAGATGTCTTAGCTGAAGAATCCAATATTTCAGTAGCTGCTAGATTTTATGATGATTTAGTTCAAACATTTGGAGATGATGGGGAATTGAACGGTGAACAATTGCAGAGATTGTTAAATGCCTTACGTTGGAGAGGAAATTCTTCACACAATAGGAACACTGTTCAGAAAATAGGATGCAACTTGACTGACCCTACTCAGAACAAATTCTCATGTCTCCATGACAAGGTAATTATGAATTATGTTGTCATTTAAATCAATCACCTAACTTAAATATATATATTCTTGCATAGGACAAAATGTATGCAGTCCAGGATTTTTTCAGCGTACACCCCCAACAAGAAAAGCGCTGTGTACATTGTATGTGTGATTAACTAAACCAAGGACGTCTATCTCAGATAGATGTCCTTGACTAAACCAATTATAATAACAATTTTTTTTTTTAATTCCCCAAGTGGCTGATTTGTTCTAAAAGATGTCTATTAGAACCGTATATGTATTTGAACTTAAATCGACTAATTCTTGTCTCTGTATGCATACATTCAGAAAGATATTTCACCATCATAAACATTGAAACACACTGCCTCAGTCTTTCATCATTTTCAGTGTCTAACTGCAGCAGATCTGCTTGCTCTTTACAACTGGGATGGAACAATCAACTCTACAGAATTTCCACAGTTTGCTCCTGGTCTGCTCTACCAAGCAACATTACAACATTGTAACCATGACATCGTAGACCAAGAGACCCCTTCTCCACACCAATACTCCGAGGGAGAAGGTATACTAAGATTTGTTACATGTTTCATATCATTCTTTGCTCAGTTTGTATCTGCAGCTAATAAAACTCGTCAGGTTGAAATTAGTTAATTTTGTTATAGTTACAGATGCCCTCTTTTAAAAAAGCACAATATATTCATGTGACTGTATTGCAAACTAAAACATACCATTTAATTATGTTACTTTATACATTTTGAACTTGTGAATATTGCGGAACTGATATTTCTTTTTTTAAAATCCACACTTTTATTTTTCAGTATGGGGCTATGGCTTGCTATGCATTACTGCGGTTGTTGGCTCAGGACTTCTTGGGTGTCTTATATTCATTTGTGTGGCCAACCCTCGTATCTATGACATTCTTCTCATGGCAATGGTCTCCCTTGCTATTGGAGTCCTCACTGGCATGGGCCTCTTATTTCTCATACCAGAGGTATGGAAAGATATCTCACTTCATTTCCAATTCAATATCATTGCTTATTTCATTGTACTAAATCTTAAGTCGTTCTCTATGAATTCTTTTGACAATTATTCATATCAACTCAGTACATATATGTTTGTTGTTTTTTAATGTTTTTTGATTTATTCTGTGATATACAATACGTATATATAGTACATGTACCTTATATGGGAAGGCTTTGGACATGAATAAATAAATACATTTTAAATGTTTGTTTTTCATTTTCAGGCTCTTATGTTGTCACATCATATCGAGACCAAGGAATTCTATTGGAAATTATCTTTTGTTGCTGGTGGTTTATACTTTCTCTTTATCTTCGAGCGAATCATAAAAATTGTGAAACATGCTAAACAAGTAAGTATATTTTTTGAAACATGATTAAAATATTGATGAAAATGTTTACAATCATTAAAATACTAGTACTCTTTATGATATGCAGATGGTAAAACATGTTGTCCTCTACCAAAGAATTATGACTAAGCACTATATATTCAAATATTGCATTAGTACTTTTTGATGACACTTTAGGAGTTTTAGGACTATTTTCATCAATCAATATACTAAAAGAACATTTTTTATATAACATCCTTGAGTACACAGTAAATTTTATTGCATATTTTGTCATGTTTATTGTTTTAATGAAATTAAAAACCAGTGATTGCCTTCCAAATGTTAATTTTATTGAGGCAATCATAAACCTTTTATTTATGCTATTATTATGGACTCTCTCTGACCCTAAACCTTTGTAACCACGTGGAATGATTTATCAGGTTGGATGTCATGTTAATGTCTTATATTTGTCAATACATACATGCATGTGTTGTCAGTATGTTGTCACATTTATTTTTTAGAAGAACCACAATCCCCATGACTATAAGTCAGTACCAAGTATAAGCAGTGATAATGATATCATTTTCATGCCTCATGGGAATGGTTCCTCCTCTGCCAAGCTATTAGAGAGCCAATCAGATTACAGCATTGAGACCAAAATGACGTCTATCACAGAGGTTCCAAAGGTGAAGTTTACATTGGATGATGTTGCTGAGGTGAATTTACATACTTGGGGATTATATTTTTTGAATCAAGAAACAAAACATTTGGCAACTAAAACTGCTTCAAGCAAAATTTAATTCATATTTTTGTAAAACGTGCAAAAAGGGCTCATTTATTTAGTAAAACAGCCAAATACCCAAATTCCTATTAATATTACAATATATCTCATTTAACAGGACAAAAAGTTAAAGAAGCCCAAAAATCTGAAGCACATGCAAAAGAAAGAAATTGACACAGTTGCCTGGGTGTTGGTACTTGGGGATATCCTACATAACTTCGTGGATGGCATAGCTATAGGGGCAGGTTTCTCTCAGAGTGTACTCACTGGTGTTGGACTCTCTGTCTGTATGATATGTGAACATGTTCCTCATAAAGTTGGTGAGTGCATTCTTGACTTGTCTTACTTGTTGAATTAAATTATTAAATATTATGAAGGATATTAGTTATAATCATTAATTAAATGGGAATGATTGCAACATTGTAACAGCATCGCAATAGACGAGAGGTAAGAAAGGGGAATAATAATGATACAACAAATCGGAATGAAACAAAACCCCAGCATCCTAATTTATGATCTAATATAGAAATATACCAATAATATTAATTTAATTATATTATTGTACAAAGTACAAGTAGGATTACATAAAAAACATATATCAAGAGTGTTTAGAAATTCTCCAAAAGCTGCAGTGCAAAAATAGTGTGGTTTATTATTTTTAGGGGATTTTGCGATCTTGGTAAATGCGGGGATGAGTTTGAAACAAGCTGTTCTATACACCCTGCTGCCTGGTATTATGAACTACTTAGGTTTTGCAGTGGGAGTTGTGGTTGGTGAATTGGCCAACGCAACAACATGGATACTGGCATTTGCTGGAGGGATCTTCCTCTATATTGGACTTGTTGACATGGTAGAGACTTTTGACTTTTTATATCAAATCTTTTATTCATTTTCAGTCATTTTTCATGTTTTTCAGTTATTTATCTTAAGCCTATATGCAGAGATTAGCATGTAATGCCTGTAATCTGTGTGTCACTGGGTCACATCCCAAGGCCTCATTCTCCAAAGCCCAAAAAAATGTCTGACTTATTTGAACTAGAAAGTACAGCACATTTAAATATCTGGTTTATTGACTTTGTCACATGTAGTCATCACTAAGAAGTGGTTACATATTGTAATAGCCAACCATTTTTGTGACTCATGGTATCTGTAACAGATTCTTACACTTTTTATGCATTTGCTTGACTCTCCAGGAGCTGGTAACATTTTGTCATTATAATGCTCTTAGGCTATATGTTGTCTGTTGCAGCTGCCTGAAGTAAGTGAGAAAGTGGATGCTGAAAAAACAGTGAAAGGACAACTGAAGATATTTGCTCTCCAAAATCTAGGAATCTTGGCTGGTTATTCCATTATGATTATTGTGGCACTGTATGCAAGTGACATTAGTTTTGAGTAGTTCTGGACTCAACTATAAATAAAGCAGTAGTCTATGCAAGTGACATTAGTTTTGAGTAGTACAGGACTCCAGCTTAAATAAAGCATCACTCTATGCAAGTGACATTAACTATGAGTAGTCCAAAACTACAGTATAAATAAAGCAGCGCAAGTGACATTAAGTATAAGTAGTCCAGGACTCCATTAAGATTAAAGCAGCACTCTATCCAAGTTAGATTAGCTTCAAGAAGTCTTGAACTCAATTATGAATACTGCTTATGCAAGTGCTTTTAAAAAAATTCAAAACATTTTTTCTCACAGTAATAGTGCTACTAAGAGTTCAAGACTAAGGGGCTGTAAATGAAATCAATAAAACAGAACATAATTATGTCAACAGCAAAAGTGTTGACATATTATTATGGTCTCCATTTTTTGTGATAGCCATTGGCGGCATCGAGCATTCTGCGTTCGGAGTCAGTAAGAAATGGCAGGTTGTGACATTTTGCATGTTAATACCTTGTTTTAGTTCATGAAGACATTACATTTTATTGTCCAATATATTTTATTGGTTTTCTTAAAATATGTTCCTTTTTGCAAAGTCATGATCCAACACTAGTTAAAATGCAAATTGAGTCGTGTAAAAGTTGAAGTACTTGTAAATCCTTGTTCCTCGAATGGCTTGTTACTACCATTGAAAATTTATGATTATTCTCATGGGAAAATGAAAACAACCGATTAGATGCAAATAGAAGTATGTATGTTTTCATGAAATAACCAAAAACCAATATATGAAATTTGAAATCTATACAAAATTACATCTCAATGTGGTTTAAAAAATTGTTGTAAAATCATGAACATTTAAATACAGTTTCTTTTATTGAAGAGAGAAACATGTCTTGGTGTAATTGATGGTTTACTGTATAAGTGGTATTTAATCCGAGTGGTTAATTTTCCGAATGGTCAAATTTTATCATTTTCCTAATTTTAATTTTCCTAATGACAAGAAACCTCCCATTGGATAACATTATATAGACAATATTTCCAACATTTTATTTTCCGAACCTGGCAAAAATTAGGAAATAGGCAAATTAAATGATTAGGCAAAATTACCACTTACTAGTATACAGTAATTACCAAACTCAAAACAAATGACATAAAAGGATTGGTACCGATATGATGAACTGAATTCAACAATGTTTTTCTCTTAAACCAATTATTGAAAACATTCTGTAAAAAAACATGGTCCTTTTCTGACTGATTGACAACAATTTAATGCGAAAATTAATTATATGTGCATTTTAAATAACTGTTTTTGTTAACATTTTTTGTTTTTTGGTGCAATTGTTTTTTGTTCCGTTTTACCAATTCTTGAGAATGAAATAAAATATCTTTCTGAAGCTTGTTGGAACACAAGAGCATATACAACATTTTCTTAGACCTCTCAATAGTATAGTTATACAAAGGATATTTTGGTTGATTTAACAAAAAATATTCAAAAAATTAAAACAAAAACATGCCAAAAGAGATAAAAATTAAGATAAATCTTTTATTTCATTAACAAGATATTTTTTTAAATCAACCAAACTTTCCTTTGAACAATTACAATATTGAGAGACCTAAACACGTTGTGTTTATGTCATTTTGTTCCAATGAGGTTCGGATAGATGTTTCATTTCATTCCGAACATATGATACCAAGAACAAAAGAAGTGTCTGATGTGTTTTCTAAAACAATATAGAGAAAAGCATATATATTTATTTAAAAGTGTTACCATTCAAAAGATGACCATTAAATTGACGAGGTGTAAAATGTTCAGAGTTTTTTGTTGCCTGGTTTAAGAGAAACGTGTGTTCAAAAAGTTCACCGTATCGACACCCATCCTTTAATCCTCTGAATCAATTATTTAACTTTAAAGTTAAAATCAACCAACTTTTTGGTCCATTGGAATTCTAGATATACATGTAAGCGTATGTGTTAGATATAAACAATGTACAAGTGCATATACCTTTATTTTATTTGAATGTTGTGGCCTTTGACATGTTTCGTGATCAAAATAATGAGAATTGACAAGAATTAAAGTAAAGCATAGATCATGCTTTTATTTTTGCATTTAAAAAAAAGTATGAATGTTGTAAAGGACTGATGGCTTTTGAACTCATGCTATTTATAACTTTATTGCTGTTTTTATATTCATTTTAAGTACGTAGTTTTGACTTCCAAACAAAATAAAATGTCATTTTAGCCAACAATTTTATGCCAACTATTATCTACTATTATGAAAATTATGTATATGTACAATTACTGACCCTTTTAAAATACAGTTTCATACCAGTGTTTTGCAATAAAAGTACCTAAGCTTGCATGGGCATAGCGCTATATTTCTAAGTAGGACGCCACCGCGGGAACAAGAGTTGAGCGAAGCAAAAAACAAGCATTTAGGGGGGTCTGAGGGGTTTCCCCCCAGGAAAATTCTGAAAGGAGCACGTAGGTTATCGCAAACAATTTCAAACGATTCTAACTTGAATTATGAATATTTTCTGATCATGAACATAGGTGTATCTTTTAGATTCATTCATTATCTCTAAGAAAAGTATATAAAATGATAATTTAGTTAATCAGACCTAAGTGATATTGAAGGGGCATTTGACCAATCAATATGCTTTTCAAAAATGTTGACCTAATTTTCACCAAAAATGCAACCTTTTATTATATTGTTGAATGCATAATTAGAATGTGCTTTGAGACATGTTCGATTTCCTAAAAGGAAAAGTTGATTGCTCCAGGGACTTTAAAGATACTGAATTTGGATGACCAAAATGAACTGAAACCAATGGATAGCATGAGATTTTTCAATGGAGAAAGAACATGGGGAACACTTATCTTAAAGCAATTAAATTTTTCTTTCAAGAACTATTTGATACATCAAAATAAAGAATAGTAATGTATTAAACATTGTAAAAAATGATTGCATTTTTAGTGAAATGGGGTCAACATCTTTGAAAGTGTTGATGGGTTGATTGCTAGTTAAATATCTCCGAGTTTATTTGACTTTATTATTACTGTACAAATAAAATTTTCTTTGAGATAATGAATTGATCTAAAAGATAAAACTGTCTTTATTGTCAGAAAATAGTCATAATCCAAGATGTAACCTTCTGAAATTGTTTGCGATAATCTACTTGCTCCTTTGGTTGTATTTGGAGCAACCATCTGGTACACCTGTACGTACCCAGCGTACCGGGCTATGCTATGCCTTGTATTTGCGAATGCAAATCGCGGCTACCGGCTAGCGGGTTGATTGCAATTTGATGGCAAACTCATTTAAATATGAAAAGTACCTGCCATGCGTCCCGTTAGTTGCCAGCTCTTGCCCCAAACCCAGTAGCTGAGCTAAATAACGATTTAATCTGGTATTAAAGCAGTAACTTACACCAACTATTGAGGTGTTCGGAATTATAAATGGCGGAAGTTTACCTGGCGCATGCGCATGGACACAAGTTTGTTTGATTATGTGACAATGGCATAAAAAGTAACGCGATCACTGTTAGTCCACAAATGGGTTGTTCGATATTGCAACTTCAAATTGACGGATTAATTAATGCAAATCAATAGGTTAATCTGGTAACTGCTATTTGCATTCGCGGATACAAGCTAAATTTATAAGTGAACTAATTCACCTTTATTTAGACATGTAGCAGTTTGAAAGATATGTGATGTGAACGTGATCCCATTAAAATTAGAATTGTATTTCAGTGAGACAGCCTCGTGTTTTAAGCTGTGAACATAAAACTTTAAGCTTCAGTGATTTGTTGATTTGTTAAATGATGAATTTTTATTCGCATGTCGCGCAATAAAAATACCTACCGGTAAGTATTAATGTATTATTACCTTTATTTAGACATATGGCAATTTGAAAGATGTGTAAACGTGATCCCATTAAAATTAGAATTATTCTTGATGAGTCACCATCATGTTTTAAGCCTTGAATATCAAACTTTTAGCTTCGGTGATTTATCCAAGGGCACACAGTTTTTTGTTATTGTTCTCTAAAACAGTTTGAAGCAACGTCACTGAAAAAAGTTATTTGCCAATGTAAATGATAGCAAAAATTGCTTTAGTTGAGACAATTCTTTAAGCTGTGTACTAGAATAAAGTTGAAGGTATATAAGTAATACTTTGAATAAAACTTGTTTAAATTAAATACAGCAAGCGAATAAATAGGTACTGATACAGCTCCAGTCTGTGCACTTCTTCAGGATGAGTTTAGTAGAACTGTTTATTCTCAGTTGTATTTACCAATTAATAGATTCTTCCAAAAATGAAGATGAAAAAAATAAGGCTTCAAAGATAACATCATATTTTCTGGATAATTTAATGGAACAGTTTGGAAGTAATAAAGAGTTGCATGTTGACCAAATGCAGCATTTGTTAGATGTTGCCCAGAAAAAGGACAGTTGCCATGTAGCTTATCAGATTGAAGAAAACTCTAATGGATATGATCGGTTGTATAATGGAACATATGATCTCTTTAATACATCTAAAAAGCCAGAGGTACGGAAACGATTTATCAACATTTTAATGTTTATTTTGAAACACTTTAATCATTACATAGTTATGTAGACCTATACATTTAAGATAAATTTTTGAAGTACATGTATTACATCAGAAAAACATCTCTGATTATGATTTACAGCATGTAATTGTTTTATTTCAAGTGTCTAACTGCAGCTGAACTGCTTGCTCTGTACAACTGGAATGGGACCATTAACTCTGCAGAATTACAACAATTCACACCTGGTCTGCTTTATCAGGCAACATTACAACATTGTAACGATGACAATAAACAAGAAGAGGCCCTTTCTACATATACTCAAAGTGAAGGTAACTGCAATAAAGATACTCTGATCTTTCTTTGTTTGATTGAACACATTCTGATATATTAGAATTATTTTGATAATAATGCCAAAAGTTGACAATAGATAAAATAGCAAAAATGATTCTAGGATCATGTGGCAGATTGTATTTTTAAATAGAACACAAAAACTACCTATCATATTAATCAGAACATGGATTAAATAAACAAAACCAATAACTATAATATAAATCATTTGACCCAAAGTTGCTTAGGAGGCAGTTTGAGTAATTTGGACCTTTTACAAATGTTGGTAGTCATCCCACTTTGCCTACCTTAAAGTAGTACAGTAACAAAGAATATGATGTAAATTGAATTGAAAAGAGAAAGTTAATTTTTTCCAAATTATTGCCTGATAACTTTAAAATCAAGATTATCAATCAAGTCTTTGTTGCAGCAATTTATTCATAAAAAGATGGTTATGTTATTAAAGTATATCTACATGTATGTGTACTTCTCCGTTACAGTTTGGGGTTATGGGATGCTGAGTATTACAGTTGTTGTAGGGTCTGGATTACTGGCATGTCTGATCTTTGTATGTGTGGCCAACCCTCATGTTTATGCCATTCTGCTCATGACTATGGTCTCCCTAGCAGTTGGGGTTCTTACTGGTATGGGTTTCCTGTTTCTCATACCAGAGGTAATATTTATTTTCATTATCTATTTATCATTTTGAATGTTGCCTCGTGTGCATTTTTGAGACTGCAGAAATGCTTGAAGTAATTAATCATAAATGTTATGTACATATTTGTTTTGGGTTATCTGTTGAAAAACTGGCTAAAACAAACTCCTTTAGAGGAGTAGTATCGATATGGAGAACTTTTTGAACACACGTTTCTTTTAAACTAGTCATAAGAAAATCTAAAAATTTAACACATCGTCAATTTAATAGTCATCTTTTGAATGGTAACAATATAATAATATATATACTTCCATCTATATTGTTTAAGAAAACACATCAAACACTTGTTTTGTTCTTGGTATCACATTTCCAGAGTAAAATGAAACATCTTTCCGAACCTCATTGGAACAAAACGACATAAACACAACATGTTTAGGTCTCTCAATATTGTAATTGTACAAAGGAAATTTTGGTTGATTTTAAAAAAGTATCTTGTTAATGAAATAAAAGGTTTATCTTCATTTTAATCTATTTTGGGGGGATTTTGTTTTAATTTTTCGAATACTTTTTTAAAATCAACCAAAAATTCCTTTGTATTACTATAATATCGAGAGTTCTAAAAACATGTTGTATATGCTATTTTGTTCCAAAAAGGTTCAGAAAGACATTGTATTTCATTCCGAAGAATTGGTAGAAAGGAGCAAAAACAATTGCACTTAAAAAACAATCAGTCAACATTACATAAAATACCGTTTTTTTTACAGAATGTTTTCAATGATTGGTTTAAGAGAAAAACATTGTTGAATTCAGTTCTCCATATCCATACCACTCCTTTCACATGTTATTATATTATTAAATAGATTGGAGAGAAGCTTAAAATATGTGGTTAAAAATATTTGCCACCTAATTCTTTTACATAGAAACCTCTGTCACCTCATTAATTAATATTTTATGGGGCAGCCCTATTTAGGGCTCCCAGCCCATTGATAGAATTATTTTTTTATTTCATATGAACATTTTAAATTTCATCAGATGCTTGGTACCAATGTATTTATTGATAATATGCAAGAACTAGGTTTTATCATTGATACTCTTTTAACATATCTTTTGTATTATTACACATATTCTTACACATGTTTTGTATTATTACACACATTTTTACACATGTTTTGTATTATTACACACATTTTTACACATGTTTTATATTATCAAATCAAGCATTGTTTGAAAGGAAAATAATGATAGCCTAAACAGAAAGCAAATAATTGTATACTTAAATATTGTATTCTAGGCTCTTCAACTGTCAGAGAATTATGATAAGGGAGAGTATATATGGAAGCTGACGTGTGTGGCAGGGGGACTCTATTTCCTAGTGATCTTTGAAAGAATCATTAAGGTGTTGAAACATGCAAAACAGGTAGGTTTTGTGTGTAATCATAAGCAGAAATAAATGAATAGAATAAGGTTTGACTTTTCCTTTAAATGAGCTATAATACGGTGGCAATGAGAAACAATAAAGCACAATCAGATCTAACAAGATACTGATGACAACTACCAACAATTTTTTTCAATTTTAGAATATTTTGGGCTCATATTATTACTTGTCATGTCTTTTTTCTAGAAATACCCCAAGTATATACTTTATGTGAGAAGAAATTAAGATTTTTACAATAATGCAATCATTTGTCTATAAGAATGGTTACCATTCTTATTATTTGGGAGAATTTAAATATTTTCCCCCATTTTTGCACTTTGAATCTAAATAACTTCACCAATTGATAACATTTCAATTCATGGATCTTTTGGGAGATATTAGATATGAGGTTGTAAGGAACACATTGGTATATCAATTACATATTGCTTGTAATGTTGTCACTCCCTATGGATTCTGCCTTTAATCCTTTGAAACATTATACTACATTGGCATTATCAAGGCACCTGTGTACAGAATATGTTCAAATATGTCTCTATTTACAAAATATAACATATACTTATAGACTAGTTGTATTTTATTTATTTCAAGATCATTAGTGCTTCTGGTGATCTAAAAAGGAATTAAAATATTAAAACTGTTTTATTGTATAGTGTACTATGGCAATTATTTCACAATTTCAGCACAGAATCAAGCAGGTGAATTCAAATGCAAAGTTGCTTGTTGAAAGTCCCACAAAGGAACAGGTATAGTATATATATTTGCTTCTTTTGAATTAAATAATACAATGTGCAACATTTGAAAAATGAACAAAATCACATGAATTCTCTTGAACCTATTAGGCAAAACAGAGAACAGGATAAAGTATGAATTCTAAAATATTTCGATGTAGTATGTCCGTCTTGACCCTTCTCTCTTATATTCCGAAACTCCCTCAACATAAAACTAAATTATTTTATTGTCTTTCCTTCTTTATTATTTCAGTCTAAAATTCTTATTTTCAATTTTCTATAATTTCACAATTTCTCTTTAATACTTTATAACCACTTCATAACTTCATTCTTCAATAGCTTTTCTAAAATTCTGTCAAATCACCTTTTCCCTTTCTATTTATATGATTCTAAATCTCAGCACATTGTAGAATCCTCCATCTCAGAATTGAACGATATCCTCCTCGGAATACTCTTTTTGGTGAGGCAAAATACGTACTTTCTTCTGAGATGGAAGATTCTAACTTTTCTTCCATAAACAAACACCACAGGAGGTCTGTCCCCAGTCATGGAGATGTCCCAATGCCATACTACTTTGTGTTAAATTGTTTACAAATTGTGCATTGGAATACCTCCTTCGGCTGGCTGAGCTGTTGAGGCCGTCAGACTATCATAACTTTCCATCAAGACACTTCATGATATTGATGTTTACATTACAGAGGCATTAAAAACGCCAAAATCATCTGGTTTCAGAAAATACTATGAACATACAGACAACTTAAGGGCAAGATAATCTTCAAAGTTTAGTTGATTGAATAACAAATGTCTTTCTGGAGGTTAAATTGTCTAAAAGCATTTTCACTCACAAGTTGTGTTATTGAAAAATACTCATTTTGTCGTAGTGCAGTCATTTGACTTTTTTTGTGTGTGTTAAATCGTTGATGGAGTTTGTTTTCTTGCAACCAGTTGTGCTTATCAGTACTCTGAGTTTTCCCTTTTGTAACTCAGTAATTGTACTTTAATATTTGTTGAAGAAGATGGCAGTGCCAGAAGGAATGAAGTCTCTTCGCAAGGAGCAAGTAGATTCAGTAGCCTGGGTGCTTATACTGGGGGATGCCCTGCATAACTTTGTAGATGGGATAGCAGTAGGAGCAGGCTTTGCTCAGAGCATTCTCACAGGAGTGGGTCTATCTGTGTGTATCATATGTGAACATGTACCACACAAAGTTGGTGAGTTTGGCATTTTAAGTACTGTATTTGTCTTTAATCTTGGCGCTACTTAATTTGGCGTTTTTTGGGGATATTGAACATGTTGCCTTCTACAGGGCGTCAAATAAGTCTGTTCTCCCCCCTTAAGTTTTTTATTTCAGAAATAACATAGGGTTGGTATATACCATCTTAAAGGGAATTCAATTTGCTGATCACACACCAAATTTCAGAGCTATTGGTTAAATTCCCAAATTTTTAGAGTATTTTTAGTGATGTCCATATTTCACTTTTTTAATAGTCTGTATGTCTCCCAAAGCAGCCCGGATGGCCTCAATTCTACAAGGATATGATCCCGTTTAAATCATACAGAACGTTTAACTTTGGCTGTTATCAACTATTTTTTAATGAAAGATGACCCTGCTTCAAAAGCTCCCCTGAATGTAACACATTTTACTCTGTAGAATATTGAGAAACATCAAAATCACCCAATGTTGGCATTGTCACTGCAGTATCATATTCACTTTTCAATCACTATTACCTGGTAATATTACTTGTTTTGACGTAATCAAAGGTCAACTACAACCTTACAAGAAACATTGTAGCAATTTTATTAGGAGGAGTTTATGATTGATGTTTTGAGGGTGATCAGCATTTTCCATAAGCTTCACAATGATATATGGGAATGTATGATAAATTAAAAGATAAAAAAGTTAAGGGGGGAGAACAGACTTATTTGACACCCTGTATTTAATTTGGCGGTCCTTTTTGGGCATAATTTGACAAAAAATGGGCCTTAATCTTTCAAAATTTGGGCCCACTGATACATCTCTACCATTTCCCCCTTCTCCATCTCTCCATGTCTTCCTTTGATTTCATTTCAGGTGACTTTGCTATCTTAGTAAATGCTGGTATGAGTGTGAAACAAGCTGCATTATACACTGTACTAGCAGGCACTATGTGCTACCTGGGCCTCACAATGGGGATACTAGTGGGGGAACTCACTGATGCTACATCATGGATACTAGCATTGGCAGCTGGGATTTTCCTCTACATTGGCCTTGTAGATATGGTATGTAACATAGAACCCTGTGCATCTATACAATGTGCTATTTCTCAGAAATATGAAAACAGTGAGTGTGTCATAGATGGCATAACGAACACTAAGTAGATTCAATATTGATATACTTTAAAGTTGTATAACTTTGAGATGCTATTTTCATTAGTTCTATTAGTTGAGTTCTACAATGCCTCAAAATTATAGATGATCCCTTTATTATCAACCACAAATTGTTCTAACACCTGTAAACATAATCATATGAGAAATCTCCATATATTTATTCCTGACTCATTTTAATTTATTTTAATTTATCTATCCACATGAAGAATAATTTTGATGCAGGAAAATTAGAAAGTGGAAATAAAATTTTCCATGTTATTTTCCCATGGAGATTTTTTTCATGTCCTATGAGACATCACTATTCTATCACTTACCCATGATTTATGATCAGTACAGTCTAGAACTAATTATAGAAACAGCATCTCAGTTTTTCACCAACCCCACCTGTGTTCTTCATTATGTTCAACATGTTCTAACTGTAATACACTATCAATCAGTATTTCTTGATTTTGCTTAATAGAATCCAAAATGAATAGGCCTATCCTTTGAAGAGTTAAATCCATTTTTGTATAATTACAGTTGCCGGAGATATGTGAAAAAGTGGATGATGAAAAGACAGTGAAAGGACAACTGAAGATATTTGCTCTCCAAAATCTAGGAATCTTGGCTGGTTATTCCATTATGATTATTGTGGCACTTTATGCAAGTGACATTAGTTTTGAGTAGTTCTGGACTCCACTATAAATAAAGCAGTACTCTATGCAAGTGACATTAGCTTGGAGTACTACAGGACTCAATTATGATTATAATAGCGCTTTATGCAAGTGACATTAGCTTGGAGTAGTTCAGGACTCAATTATGATTATAATAGCGCTCTATGCAAGTGACATTAGCTTGGAGTAGTTCAGGACTCCATTATGATTATAATAGTGCTTTATGCAAGTGACATTAGCTTGGAGTAGTACAGGACTCAATTATGATTATAATAGCGCTTTATGCAAGTGACATTAGCTTGAAGTAGTTCAGGACTCAATTATGATTATAATAGCGCTTTTTGCAAGTGACATTAGCTTGGAGTAGTACAGGACTCAATTATGATTATAATAGCGCTTTTTGCAAGTCACATTAGCTTGAAGTAGTTCAGGACTCCATTATGATTATAATAGCGCTTTATGCAAGTGACATTAGCTTGGAGTAGTACAGGACTCAATTATGATTATATAATAGTGCTTTATGCAAGTGACATTAGCTTGGAGTAGTACAGGACTCAATTATGATTATAATAGTGCTTTATGCAAGTGACATTAGCTTGGAGTAGTACAGGACTCAATTATGATTATATAATAGTGCTTTATGCAAGTCACATTAGCTTGAAGTAGTTCAGGACTCCATTATGATAATTATAGTGCTTTATGCAAGTTACATTAGCTTGGAGTAGTTCAGGACTCAATTATGATTATAATAGTGCTTTATGCAAGTGACATTAGCTTGGAGTAGTTCAGGACTCAATTATGATTATAATAGCGCTTAATGCAAGTGACATTAGCTTGGAGTAGTTCAGGACTCAATTATGATTATAATAGCGCTTAATGCAAGTGACATTAGCTTGGAGTAGTACAGGACTCAATTATGATTATAATAGCACTTTATGCAAGTGACATTAGCTTGAAGTAGTTCAGGACTCCATTGTGATTATAATAGCACTTTATGCAAGTGACATTAGCTTGGAGTAGTTCAGGACTCCATTATGATTATAATAGCGCTTTATGCAAGTGACATTAGCTTGGAGTAGTTCAGGACTCCATTATGATTATAATAGCGCTTTATGCAAGTGACATTAGCTTGGAGTAGTTCAGGACTTCATTATGATTATAATAGTGCTTTATGCAAGTGACATTAGCTTGGAGTAGTTCAGGACTCCATTATGATTATAATAGCGCTTTATGCAAGTGACATTAGCTTGGAGTAGTTCAGGACTCCATTATGATTATAATAGTGCTTTATGCAAGTGACATTAGCTTGAAGTAGTTCAGGACTCCATTATGATAATTATAGTGCTTTATGCAAGTGACATTAGCTTGGAGTAGTTCAGGACTCAATTATGATTATAATAGTGCTTTATGCAAGTGACATTAGCTTGGAGTAGTTCAGGACTCAATTATGATTATAATAGCGCTTAATGCAAGTGACATTAGCTTGGAGTAGTTCAGGACTCAATTATGATTATAATAGCGCTTAATGCAAGTGACATTAGCTTGGAGTAGTACAGGACTCAATTATGATTATAATAGCACTTTATGCAAGTGACATTAGCTTGAAGTAGTTCAGGACTCCATTGTGATTATAATAGTGCTTTATGCAAGTGACATTAGCTTGGAGTAGTTCAGGACTCCATTATGATTATAATAGCGCTTTATGCAAGTGACATTAGCTTGGAGTAGTTCAGGACTTCATTATGATTATAATAGTGCTTTATGCAAGTGACATTAGCTTGGAGTAGTTCAGGACTCCATTATGATTATAATAGCGCTTTATGCAAGTGACATTAGCTTGGAGTAGTTCAGGACTCCATTGTGATTATAATAGCACTTTATGCAAGTGACATTAGCTTGGAGTAGTACAGGACTCAATTATGATTATAATAGCACTTTATGCAAGTGACATTAGCTTGAAGTAGTTCAGGACTCCATTGTGATTATAATAGCACTTTATGCAAGTGACATTAGCTTGGAGTAGTTCAGGACTCCATTATGATTATAATAGCGCTTTATGCAAGTGACATTAGCTTGGAGTAGTTCAGGACTCCATTATGATTATAATAGCGCTTTATGCAAGTGACATTAGCTTGGAGTAGTTCAGGACTTCATTATGATTATAATAGTGCTTTATGCAAGTGACATTAGCTTGGAGTAGTTCAGGACTCCATTATGATTATAATAGCGCTTTATGCAAGTGACATTAGCTTGGAGTAGTTCAGGACTCCATTATGATTATAATAGTGCTTTATGCAAGTGACATTAGCTTGAAGTAGTTCAGGACTCCATTATGATAATTATAGTGCTTTATGCAAGTGACATTAGCTTGGAGTAGTTCAGGACTCAATTATGATTATAATAGTGCTTTATGCAAGTGACATTAGCTTGGAGTAGTTCAGGACTCAATTATGATTATAATAGCGCTTAATGCAAGTGACATTAGCTTGGAGTAGTTCAGGACTCAATTATGATTATAATAGCGCTTAATGCAAGTGACATTAGCTTGGAGTAGTACAGGACTCAATTATGATTATAATAGCACTTTATGCAAGTGACATTAGCTTGAAGTAGTTCAGGACTCCATTATGATTATAATAGTGCTTTATGCAAGTGACATTAGCTTGGAGTAGTTCAGGACTCAATTATGATTATAATAGCGCTTAATGCAAGTGACATTAGCTTGGAGTAGTTCAGGACTCAATTATGATTATAATAGCGCTTAATGCAAGTGACATTAGCTTGGAGTAGTACAGGACTCAATTATGATTATAATAGCACTTTATGCAAGTGACATTAGCTTGAAGTAGTTCAGGACTCCATTGTGATTATAATAGTGCTTTATGCAAGTGACATTAGCTTGGAGTAGTTCAGGACTCCATTATGATTATAATAGCGCTTTATGCAAGTGACATTAGCTTGGAGTAGTTCAGGACTTCATTATGATTATAATAGTGCTTTATGCAAGTGACATTAGCTTGGAGTAGTTCAGGACTCCATTATGATTATAATAGCGCTTTATGCAAGTGACATTAGCTTGGAGTAGTTCAGGACTCCATTATGATTATAATAGTGCTTTATGCAAGTGACATAAGCTTGAAGTAGTTCAGGACTCCATTATGATTATAATAGCGCTTTATGCAAGTGACATTAGCTTGAAGTAGTTCAGGACTCCATTATGATTATAATAGTGCTTTATGCAAGTGACATTAGCTTGGAGTAGTTCAGGACTCCATTATGATTATAATAGTGCTTTATGCAAGTGACATTAGCTTGGAGTAGTTCAGGACTCCATTATGATTATAATAGTGCTTTATGCAAGTGACATTAGCTTGAAGTAGTTCAGGACTCAATTATGATTATAATAGTGCTTTATGCAAGTGACATTAGCTTGAAGTAGTTCAGGACTCAATTATGATTATAATAGTGCTTTATGCAAGTGGCATTAGCTTGAAGTAGTTCAGGACTCAATTATGATTATAATAGTGCTTTTTGAAAGTCACATTATCTGCTAATAGGCCAGGTTCCCATTATGATTAAAGCACTTTATGCAACTGACGTTAGCTTCAAGAAATGAAGGACCTCAATAACATTTTTAAAATACTATGGATATTATATCTCAGCTTGTATTGTTGAATATGGATTGTTTTCAACCTTATCCTTGGATAAAAATGTTAATAGTTCAAATAAAAAATAAATAAAATATATTAAATTTTTTGAAATTTTTAGCCTTATAGACTCCTTTATTGTAAGGATGCACTCTGTCATCCCTGATATACCATTCTTAAGATCAACAAATCAGACATACTTAGTAACCATATAATAGTACAATAGAAGCATGGTAACCATGTTACACAACATAAGCTTACTAACTATGGTAACACAAACTAAATGTAACACTGTGAAGTTGACATGGTATGCTGCATGCAAAATACATTTGTCAGTTTGTGTGGTCTGTGCGTGAAATCATTAGTGACATGAAAACTTGACAATGCGCCATTTGATGGCAGAACATCCTAAAGGAAGATCAAAAAGATGTACATGAAGTAGCATTTTTGAATATGGCTATATTTCCCAAACAAAATCTCAAAAATGTTATGGGTAAATAGTTCTGTTGACATTCAACAATTCAATTCGAACATATGCCAGGATTATCCAGTACATATAAAGACCATAACTTGCTCTCTAGAAAGTAGGATGAAATAAGATCTGATCCCAAAAACTTCACGAGTTATGGGTACATTTCTTGTGAGGCAGCCTTTATATTTGATAATGAAAATGAATGTGTCAATACTCAAGTGACAAATGTGTCAATTTGGCAAAAAATAAATGTGTCTGCTTTTACTATTATTACAAATGTGTCTGCATTTACTACCATTACAAATGTGTCAGTGTCAGTTTGGTGCACAGTCTAACTGCCCCTAATCTGAGGTTTAAAACTTCTGGAAACTGCAGTGTCTTCAAAGCACCACTCCTTGCTTATATATGACTCTCCACCTTGCATTGTGCCTGGAGAATGAAGAGGGGGGGGGTAACAACATGACTTGATGTAAGACTAGAATGTAAGACAAGTCATTAATGTTATAAAGTGCATATCCTTTAACCCTTTCACTTGGGTTGCTTTCAAACTTTCAATTATGTGTCAAGTTACATACAGCACCTTCGAATCATAAAATGTTGAGAGTTAAAAACAGAATAACAGCATTACACTGCCTATTTTCCTATAGTTCTACACTAAAATAAATGATCACCAATTGTACCTAATCTCATCCCTGAATATAAGACCCAAGAACTGTTCAAGAAATGTCTTCTAGAGCTCCCACAAAACATTCTAAGAAGTTTGTTTCACAAGTTTCTTCCAGTGAAGTATCTTGCTGCATGGGGCTTGGTCTTTAAAGTAAGTTAAGTTCTGGAGACTTTGTATTTAATTTCAAACAATATGATCGTCAAAGGATTCCATATAGCCCTTGTTGGGCTTGACTAGACCTTCATGTACCCGTCCCTATGGAAACTGCTCACAACTTATTGGAATTTATCAATAAACTAAATAACATACATGTTCAAATGTCAAAAGCTGAGTATACATGACCTAAATTTAGAAAATTAGAATTTCATAATACAAAATGGCTTTTATATCCTTCCCTTCAAAACTGTTGATAATAGGACATGTCACTGTGTTTTCCAACATTAACACTTCTGTGTTTTCATAATCCAATATACAAAAGTAATTCAAGGTAAATATCATGGGAGATTTTGGTGAAAAATATGAAATATGTAAGAGTATAATAGGCATAAGTTAACTAAAAGAAAGAAAACAGCTAGTAATAGTTAATATACAGGTACTAACTCAACGAAAATCATTCACAAATAACTAAAGCATATTCATCAATAAATGATTTATATATTTGGCACAAATCAATATCTTAAATCAACCTTTAGCTGCCACGTGTGCTACAAATGGTCTATTTACTATCGCCATCTATCTGATTTCCAAATGCACTTGGGCACCTCATAAATTACAATTCTCAACTACATTGTAATCAAATCCAGTCAGAAATGAACTCATTATGACTGCTACCACATTCTGGCTCCAGACAACACATCAATTTATAATTCCTTTTCATACATTTTTGTGTGGTGTTAACAGGCAAATGAATTACATTTTATATATAACGTGGTAATCATTTTGAATTGTTGCTTAATACCAAAGTACCTCGCGTCAAGATTGGCCTAACAATTGCACAGCTTTATAAGTAAGTGGTTCATTTGGTTGTCTTTAATCTAAGTTTCAATTAGAACAGCAACTAGTGTGAACAAATAGGAATTGCTTCAAGTTAAAATCAAATAATTTCAATTTTGCATCATTTCTATTTGTTTGATAATTTTTTCAATTTTTGGTTTAAATTCAACATATGTTGCATACATCGCCAACCAGAAGTGAAAATTATAAAACAAATTGAAATGTAAGTTTTGCAAAATATCTTATTTAAGATGTAGGTGCTGTACATGGTACATAAAGACACATCCTAGCTATATAATATATATGCTTATTATGTTCAACTGGTAAATGTAACAAGATATCGCATAACAAACTGCACATTTCAGATAAATAACAATGGCCTTCATAGACCTGACACTTAAGCCCTGAAAACATTGGCCCAATCCACAACCCATACAGGTTTCAGAGCACAGACCAGCAGGCCCGTAGCCAGGTTCACCCAGTTCAAGGGGTTCAAAGCAAAATTCTTTCAAAATCATGCAGTTTTTCACCATTCTGAGCATTTTTCAAGTGGCAAATGCTGGCTACAGGTCTGAACAGCGTACAAAATAACTCTGATTTACAGAATTACAGTACTCTCAATATCAACTCAAAACTCTAAACAGTCTGAATTTATCGTATTCTAGGTCTTAAAACATCATAGTCGAGTTGGTTTAAAATAAGTGTGTCACAGAGACTGGTTACTGTAAAGTAAAGTACAGCCATTCTAAGCTCAGTGTACTTCAAATGATTTCATTTAACAGATACTGATACAATTTTGAACCATCTATGGAATCAGATTGAATTTGATGAAATAGACTGTTGTTGAGTTCCTAAGAGAATTGTACCATGTAACACAGTAGTTCAGAGGATAAAGATACAGTCTACTGAAAACATATTGCTTAAATGAGCTGAGAATTGAGCCAATCACAGAGTGTGTGTAACTGCAACGTCTTCAAGCACCACCAACTCCTAATCCCCTCCTAGAGTCCAGTTGACTCTTTATTGCATCTAACTATCAATGATACCCCCTTGTGACATCATGCGTTGCTATGTTATGATGATCTCAAGGAAAATCTGTGTCCATAGCAACCACAGCCAACTTAATAAATAATGAGATGTCATGGCAACTGCCAATCAACAGGTTGCTATGACAACTATGTGGTGGGTGGGGATGTATGAACAGCTGGGATGCAGTGGTTATTTTCAATGTTTTCCTTATTTTCTGACCCCCCAGCCGCAACCATATTGTCCGTTGTTCCCGCCACCTCAGTTGTCTCTGATGACACAATGTTTTTTGGCAGCAGGCCATTTTTTAAAGCCTTCACTAAATCATCGAGGATTTCAGTCTCTTTCTGGTCGATCAATGAAAACTTTCGATTGAAGATCATGAAATGTAGGAATACACTGTTCAGATGTCCATGCAGGCTCAGTAGCACTAATTCCTTATAATGTGCGTGGTAAACATGTGCAAATATGTGGAACAAGAGTTTATGGATTTTTTTAATGGTTGACTCGAAGGTACTTGGGAAGACTGAACCTGAAAGCAAAGAAAAAGTCTTGTTAAAAACATATGAATAAAATACAGACTGAAATTCTTTGTTTCCCATCAGGCCAAAATGCGTTGGAGATTGCAGAAAGTTTTACCTTTATGAGTTTATTTATTGCGGTTATACCTGAAAGAGTTTACGTTTAAAGTCTGTTGATCAAGCAAGAAAATTAGTGTCTGAAATTTCAAGAAGTGGATATTTTGTGTTTGTTATTTGAAAAGGGAAAAATGTGTGCAAATTGATGGAAAACAAAGAATTGAAGTCTATGGCCTTGGGTAAGATTTCTCGAATTATCATTTGGTCAAGCAGTCACAAATGTAGAGTGGTTTTACGTATGCTTCCCCTTATGAGGCTTCATATTCAGCGTTATTTCTACTGCCATTCATTTACAAGATGTTGACAAAAAGTATTTGTACACAGCTATGTAACTTTACGATCAATTGATCAATGAGTTAAGAGAATGTTACAGACTGGCTTCCTCAGGTCAAAAAGTTGTCTATTATATGAATATGTTTTCTTGTAATTATCCCTGCCAGCTATACTTAGTTATTAAGATGCCTGTCATGTTCTGTTATGGAAATAAAATCTTTGAAGCAGGTTTGCAGTTTTCATACTTCTACATTTTAAGTACCCATTAATGCATTAGGTATAAGATTGATGTCACTTCTTAGGGGATAAAAAAGCAACTAACAAATTCATACATCCGTTTAGTGGTCAATTATTTGATATTATCATAAATGAAAGGAGTTCATCAAGGATGAAAGTTATGATTCCTAGAAAACAATTGTCTACTTTAAGATGAACAATGGCTTGCGACTAAATCGAAAGTTGTTACTGTTTCTAAAAAGGACCCCAGATATCTTATAAGGAACAAATATAGAAAATTAGGGTTTTAGGTTCCTTGGTTCTCTATTTCAAGTACATGTTTGTTTTGCACAGAGACATTCAATAAATCTGTACATCAGAAGGATATCATAGAAAAATGTCAAGAACAAAATCTAATAATAATAATAAATGAATACTAATGACAGACCTGCACATAAATAGCTAATTTGACCCATTCTCAACTTAATCAGTAGATATGACATTTGGAAATACATAATAATGAACACAATACTGAATGGATTGGAAATGTAACTGATATAAATGAGTTGTAAGGTCAGACAATGTTTTGCAACAGCTTGGCATTATAGGCCTAATAAACAATATAACCAAGAATTTTATCCAAGATGAATGACTACACATTGACTTCTGCCATGCATTAAGAAAACCTTGTTAATAATTTACATCGTGTACTAGTTTATTAACATTAGGTAGTAATGTATATTATTTGATCATCTTCCACAACTCCCACCCCAACCCAGAATATTATCAGACAGTATCATCTCATAATTGATGAATTAGATGATAGCATTTCCATTTTTACTTTACACATAGACATCATGAGGTTTATATTGGTTTTCAATATTTACATGTGGCGACAATACTTACATGTAGATATACATTTTAAAATAGTTAAATGTAGCTACATTATTTACTCGTAGCTTCAGTATTTACATGCACCTACCATATTTTGATGGGAATATTGATTCTTCGTTAATAGTTTTCTGTATGTACGTCATGACGTAGTCTATATACTGCGGGGCTGCACATTTACACTTCTTCCCTTTTTCGTCAAACCATAAATATTGCCTGCAGTATAAAAAAGTAAAAAATTAAATTCTGAGTAAATAATACATGCAAAACACAAATTAAACAGATAAGGAAATACAAGTACGAGCTCTTTTAATCGTGCAGTCTTCTCTTCTAATATCTACAACAGCCAGCTTCTGCGACAAGATATCTGATTCAATTCAATTCAATTTTTTTCAATTTCAATTCAATTCAATTCATTCATTCAAAATTACATCATTCAAAATTACATCATACAACATTTTATCAATAACATGAAAAGAGACCCCAAGGGGCGTATTCGAGATCATTAATGGGAGAGTACAGCTAAATTAGGTAAAACACAACTAAAAACACTCTAGGAACATTATCTGAGAACTGCGCAATAAGAGTTGAGTACAAATATCGATTCATAATAAACATTAAGTCAACTCAAAGAAACATATGCATGGTATCATTAGTGTTTATTCCCAGAAATGATAGGCCTTATTACATTGATGATTATACCTTAGTGACCATAGTTACTATGTTATATTCATCAGAGAGCTTTCAGGTGGAAAGATAATTCACACTTAAGAGACTAACATAGCATTTTCGTTTTATCAATAACATTTTTGTTCAAGATAATCCATCATTTGGTTCTGACTTGTACCAAATAGATTAAATAATATGTAGCAAGGACTAGTTCCGAGTTGAAAGTAACTTTCTCAAATATTGTCACAATTTTACAATGAGGAGTTTGACAGGGTTAATTTTAATTGTTTGATTTTAATGTTTATTAGCAAGTAATATGAGAACATCCCCCTTTTCAACCCTGGATCTTATTAGAAGAACTTCAATGACCTCCATATCTGACATCTTAATTTCTGACAAGAAAATAACTAAGATTGTCACAGAAAAATGCATGGATTTTAAAAGATTGGCTTGATAATGTTGCATGGGTATGACTTTGCTTCAGTTATTTCTTGTATCGCCCTCTCCTACCACATACTCGTTTCCCAGTTTGATTTTCAAAAACATCATACTTTGGAAATCCAAGATGCTCCTACCACCTGTTATTGACTACTTACATGTTGTCTGGGCCTGACATTGCTGAGCAATTGCTTGTGGTACAGAACTCTGAGATGGCTCCATACAGAAGGTTCAGGTGGTCGAAGAATGATATGGCTGAAAGCAGAAAAACATCAGTGATTATGATTACTACATCATTACAAGTAAATATAGTTTCACATACCTAGCGAAGCAATTGTATGGAAGTCAATGGAGCAAGCTCGGGCTATATTGATGACAGACCTCAGGTATATATTCAATGATAGGGACATTAATGCTAATTACAAGAAGGAAAATGATATACAATGCGACATGCCCTGATATGACAAAAGATTATTACAACCCAGTAACAATGATTTTGTCACTTTTATCTGGTGCTATGAATGATGATATGAGGTTGTAATAACCAAGACTCTGTAGACCAAGAGATACAAAAAGTGAATATCATATTCCAAATTTAAAAACATTATGTATGACTTGATATAGTCAATCTTGTGAGAGAATGTGATGTAAAATGTTGCACTCATGCTCTAACAAACCCAATCTTTTGAATATCTGCAATTAGCATTTATTAAGTGAGAGTAGCTAGAAGTTAGACATGTTATATAGAGATAACTAGAGATCTAACGATCTAAGATTGCAAGCAATCTTACGGAGGCCCCGTAGATACCACAGTTTGTCACCTAATTTGATGACCTTGACCTTTGACCTTGAAAATTTTACTTTTTCAGAGCTCAGTATGTCTTTTGTGATTAAGCTGACTTAAATTTGAATCCAAAAAGTCAATTTGAAAAATCCACATTTTTGACCTTTCGAAGGTCACAGAAGGTCAAGTAAAGGTCAAAGCTCAAATCTGAGGTCAAATTTGAACTCCTGAGACTTTGTAGATGCTTTTTAAAAAAACATTTGGTCAATTTGAAGCAAGTTGAAATTTGACCTTGAAAATTTTCGAAATTTGACCTTTTTTCAGTCCTTGAGCTCTTATATCTCAAAACTGGTGCAAAATTTTAATAGATAGTCAATTCCTAATATGTGAAGTACCTCTAGAGGAATATATATCCTGACTTTCAATCAAAAATATTGATTTGTAGTCTTGAATTCTGAGAAACTTAGATAGCACAGTTTGTGACCTAATTTGATGACCTTGACCTTAAAAATTGTACTTTTTCAGAGCTCAGTATGTCCTTAGTGATTAAGCTGACCTAAATTTGAATCCAAAAAATCAATCTGAAAAATCCACATTTTTGACCTTTCGAAGGTCACAGAAGGTCAAGTAAAGGTCAAAGGTCAAATCTGAGGTCAAATTTGAACTCCTGAGACTTTGTAGATGCTTTTTAAAAAAACATTTGGTCAATTTGAAGCAAGTTGAAATTTGACCTTCAAAATTTTCGAAATTTGACCTTTTTTCAGTTCTTGAGCTCTTATATCTCAAAACTGGTGTAAAATTTTAATAGATAGTCAATTGCTAATATGTGTAGTACCTCTAGAGGAATATATATTCTGACTTTCAACCAAAAATATTGATTTGTAGTCTCGAATTTTGAGAAACTTAGATAGCACAGTTTGTTATCTTATTTGATGACCTTGACCTTTGACCTTGAAAATTTTACTTTTTCAGAGCTCAGTATGTCCTTTGTGATTAAGCTGACCTAAATTTGAATCCAAAAAATCAATTTGAAAAATCAACTTTTTTGACCTTTCGAAGGTCACAGAAGGTCAACTAAAGGTCAAAGGTCAAATCTGAGGTCAGATTTGAACTCCTGAGACTTTGTAGATGCTTTTTAAAAAAAGAATTGGTCAAATTGAAGCAAGTTGAAAAATGACCTTTTTTGACCGTTTTTTGACGTCAAATATCTCAAAAACGGTAAAAAATTAACGCGTACATATAGTGGACAATTTGTAGAGAATGCTTATATCTAGTTACATTTTAATTCATCGCAAGAAATAATGAAGTATGAGGACAAAATCTGAGAAACTTAAAAAAACTTAGATTTGACCTAGATTTTGACCTTTGACCTTGACCTAGATATGAACTAATTTCCCGACAAGTCCAGCTCATGTCCCTAGTAGGAGCATATAAGAGTTAATTCAGACCTAGCTAGAAGTAGGAGAAAAAATGCTAAAAAGAATAATAACTAGATTTTGGAAATTGAACGAAGTTCAATTTCAGACTCCAGATCTAGACTTTTTTTAGCCGAGTCATCCAGAATAAGCCGAGTCATCCAAAATAAGCTGAGTCATCTAGAAAGAGATGGATAAATAAAATAGGAAGGTAGGATAGGATAGAATAGGAAAGAACGATAGGATAGAATAAGAAAGAAGGATAGGATAGAATAGAATAGGAAGAAAGGATAGGATAGGATAGGAAGGATAGGAAGGAAAAGATATGAAGGAAGGATAGATAGGAAGGATAGGGTAGGATGAGATAGGAAGGATGGATGAATTTTTCAATATTTTCTTCTCTACTCTTGACTTTCTATCAGGATACCATCAGATCGATTTTTCTCAAAATTTCAAAACGCTATCACTTCCGAACCGGAAGTCGGATCGAAATTTGGTTTGCAGATTCGGATTCCTGACAAAATTCTACCCCTAATTCATAACTCATACGTTAAATTTGGAGATTTTTTATTTTGACCTACTTTTCGGACACACCATTTCTTCCGAACCGGAAGTCGGATCGAAATTTAGTTTGCAGATTCGAATTCCTGACAGAATTCTACCCTTAATTCATAACTCATATATTCAATTTGAAGAACTTTTTATTTTGACCTACTTTTCGGACACGCCATAACTTCCGAACCTGAAGTCGGATCGACATTTGGTTTGCAGATTCGGATTCCTGACAGAATTCTACCCTTAATTCATAACTCATATATTCAATTTGGAGAACTTTTTATTTTGACCTACTTTTCGGACACCATATCTCAAAAGTGGGTCAAAATACTTTCTGACGGCAAAAGGCTAACACTATTAGCATATTCTTGGCTACATGTATACACAATTTCGAAGAATATAATTAAAGTGTAGTGTCAGAATCGAAAAAATAAGAAAAACCTATGAATTTGACCTAGATTTTGACCTAGGCATTTCGGTGTCAAAATTGTGAAGCTAGATGGCTTTTGAGGTCCCCTTCTTTTAAAGGCTTTGATTATATGAAGCTGAACTCAGTCTATATTCCGTATTTTTCACTTCAAAAAAATATTTTTTCCCATTGACTTAACATAGGCACCAAATTTAGCGATTTTTGGGTTTTCAAAACGCCATAACTTCCGAACCGGAAGTCAGATCCAAATTTTGTTTTCAGATTCGGAATCCTGAGAAAATATCCTATAAGAATAATATCCTGGACATTTGATTCGGAGAACTTTTTTTTGGACCTCGTTTTCGGACACTGATATCTCGAAATCGGTTTGAGATATCAAAAAACTAAATCGACCCTAGGTTTCCTACTTTTTTATAAGGAACACAATGAAAAAAACCCGGATCGAAAATATTGAAGGACGACCGAGAAAATCGAAAAAAGTGACAAAGTACTGGATTTGACCTAGTTCTTGACCTTTGACCTAGATAAAAATTTGACCCAATTTCCGAGGAACTAGATTCTGGACCTAAATTGACCAAATGACTGACTTTACTGAAAACCTTACGGTTATTGAGAAAACTTGCTTAGAATAATAATAATAATAATAAGAAGAAAAAGAATAATAAGAAAACTGACGAAAACAATAGACTCCAGATTTCATCTGGAGTCTAATAAGAAGAAGAAGAAGAAGAAGAAGAATAACTACAAAAACTATAGGAGGCCCCTTGGAAGGGCCTCCTAATAATAGAATGTCTAATCCACTTTCTCTTAACCTTAACTTTCAGTTCTCAAGTACGCCCTATCTTATCAAAGTCGAGACTGGATTTTAATAACATCTCACCCCACTCACCGCAATGACACGTATCTAGCATAGACTGATAAATTATGAACAAAAAAGGTTCAGGTGATGTTGTTTTATTCTCAATATCAAGGATGCCATTGATTGGTTACTTTTATACCAGGAAGTTGAAACATAAAAATGAGCATAATAAAAATATAAGTGATTTATAATAGTTTGAGAACAAGATAACATGAAATGAACAATCATATTACAATACCACTTTAGAATCTATGGTTTCCAAGGAGAGGCACTCAAACAGAATTCTTGGCAACTGTTTAATTTCAAACGTCATTTCTGATAGCAGTTGAATGTACACAAACACAATACACTTACATCAAGACATATACATGATAGATTAGCACAAAAAGGGGCTGCATCGAAATCAACTGCCGTTTAACATAAATTAATCAAAAATATGAGATCCTAGCTCCAACGTTGTTGAAACTAAATAAGTATGAGTATTAAAATGACAGCATAGTACTCATGTAGATTTCAGTTTTTTACAAACAAAAGAGGGCTTTTCACATTCTTACTAAATATCTTTTTGCAGAAAAAACTCATTGATAATTTGAAATGATCCCAAATTTTAGTGATTAATCATTTAATTTGACTCCTAGACATGCAGTTAAAGAGGTTTGCATCGCTATTAACTTATTCAAGCAGGATAAAACAAAAGTAGTAATAAAAGTGAACTACTGTATTTTCATCTTAATATCTGGATTTCAATTCCATAGTCTAGGGGGGTAAAGGGTGTAGATGCAAGACTCATCAATCAATTATTAACTGTATATTATCCTTACTATTTGTAGCTAGCCACTCATTTGTGTCTAGGTGTTCAGGGATTTCTGACAGTCTGCACAGGTCAACATTGATTGATCGCTGAGACACAAAGTTTTCTCCTAAGTATTGTTTGGTTTCTTCTGCTTGTGGTGAAGGAGAGTCCTTCTCTTTACGCCTGCCTTTCCTGGAAGACACAAGACAAAAACAGAATTTAGATATTGAGTATATACAGTAGTGTGTAAAACTTATGTTGATGTCACAATCAGATGAAAAATAATTATGAACCCATTTACAGTCTTGAGATGTTCCTTTTTGGTTTCGAGAACCATGGAGGATGAAAAATTGATAAAAACTGGCTGATTCAAATAACATGCATGTTTATAAATTAGTTGTTAGATAATCAGCATATTTGAAATCTGAGGCCTAAATGCTTTAAGTAATCTTAATCAAGGCCACAAAAACATTGAAAATCTATAATATTATCATCAACAAAATTTAGTGGCAGGATGGTTCATTTGAAATATTGGAGATTTATCTCATTCACACATTCCTTCATGCATATAACTTTATGGACTAATCACTTTCCGAGATATGAAAAACTAATATTCAAAATAAATATTCCTCATAGTCTGATTGCCCATATTGCCTCAATGAATCACTTGTCTCTTTGGCAATGCACTTCCTATAATGTTCAATTAATTTCCTTGAATGACTAAGAACAAATAGATATGATGTCAGTGATGTCACCAGCGTCAGTGAATAATTGAAATAATCCTATATATCAATCCAAATTGTAAAAATCGAATGGTAATATATGCAGAAATACAAATTAACTTTTGTAAGTTTATTACCATAGCAACATCATCAAACGATGAATCATCCTAGAGATGTTGACATTACTTGCTATAAATGGATCTGATGTCAGAAATATTGTTTTACTCTATTTTACGGACGTTTGGATAAAATTGATAAGGAATATTGACAGAGTTACAATATAATTTCATTTTTCACAATATTAAGTGAACACTGCTATGATTAATTATTTACTTTGAGAAATATTCATATAAGGGGTTCTAAGATAACATAGGAATCAATGGGATATCTAACTAACATAATTAAATGTTGATATCTAAAGGTATCCAGTTCAGTAAGGGAAAAGAATGGTATTAGCAACACATGTCACAAAATATTTTATTGACATTAAAACAATTACAATCAGAATCAACTACTGACAGTCAGATTCAAATTACATTGTTATTGAATTCAAACTGAAACAAAATACCTATCTGTTGTTCATCTCCTGAAATAATTGAAAACCACCAGACATCTACATCTATAATAAACTGTTGACAAGCTTCTTGTATTTAAAATAAAAACCGATTTTTTAAGATCGAAGGTAGATCATGCATGATAAGTATCTTTGTCAAATTTTAATGATTACAACTACATAATTGATGAAATAGGTCATATTATGACTGAATATCTATTCATCATGATGGAACTCATATGACAGAATGCATAAATAACAAGGCATTAACAGGCAATGTTACCACCTGCCATTTGTAACAGATGCCCAAATTCTAATTGCCAACCACCAAACTCTGATTGCCAACTGCTGAACACCATCCATAAAAAAGTTGGACACCATCATGAACAATATGTCACCACTTGAAATGACATTTTTGCTGAAATGCAACCCAACTTTTGGTTAATGATAGAAAAGGTAACATCTCTGAAGCTAAATAGTTCATTAGTGTAATCTTGAGTTCGTATGTTATTCCCAGGTATTACACAAACATTACATGTTCTCAATTCCCATTTGATTAGGATTCAATGGTTGTTCAATCTAACAAAACATGCCACTTGGGAGTTTTCCCATATGAACTGAGCTCAACTGTTTTGTAACATCCCCTGGTATCAGATATGTACAAATAGGAATCCATTAGTTTAGTAAGATAATCCCAGAGGAAAAGAAAACATATGTTTCACTATAACAATAATGAAGTGACCTTTTCAGTAATTAGAAATCTGAGCGCTGAAGCTTTGAAACAATTGGTGCATGTATACATTATCACAAAGAATGCAATCAGGAGTACAAGCTGTGGGCTTTACATTCATTCTAATATAGAATGGTGTTATGTATTCAGTTGCATGTCTTGAAGTACAGTGCCTATATTTCCTGAACCATCATGTCTATATTTAGTGGTAAACTTGGTCTAATTTAACCACTTTGAATCAATACTTTGATGACAATATAACATTATGAAGTACAACCAGTCAACAGAAGAACAAACACCAAATCCCAAACAATGATATTGCAGTTTTCTCCCTTGTACTGAATCAGTCAGACAGAATTTTGCTCAAATCTGAGAAAAAAACGAGCAGAGAACTTGATGGGTCTTGTAACTACATTACCCATAAACATACCCTAGAGGATACAGAAATTACTAACTCCTTTGACATCAAGGATTCGAATCAACAAGAAATCGAAGATAAAATTGATCTAATTTTGCAATCAGTGTCCTGAGAAGGGGGTTCATCTGAAGTAATCCGCATAACTAGCCTGTCAGTTTCAGGGAAACATCTTAGAATTTGCCTTTAAGTAAATATTTCAATAATGCAAGGCTATTTTTTCTGAATCAGCAAGTTTTGATTTAATATCTTAACATATCAGAAACATCACATATCAGGAGTGATCATATTGTATCCAGAAATCAGTGTCTTGAAATGTACTATACCATCCACCCTACCACATTCTGAACACCCAAAACAAGAGGAATCAATGTCCTGAATGAACACATTGAAAAAAAACGTGAATAGCTATATAACTAGACACAAGTGTCTCTGGTGTCTGAGATAGATAAGTGTCAGGTCAAGGATGATACCAATTTAGAAACACAGATTATGTTGGCATTCCTTTGATAACATACAGGTTGTGCTAATTGCTGGTTTAATGTCAATGTTGGTTTATTAGTCCATTATATATAAAAGAGATTGCAGAGATGTATCCCCATTTTGATATTTTGCCAGGAGATCTAAGTGAAGTCTGGCTACAATTTTTAACATCACATCCTTCAGGAGACTACTCCTTCAGGAGTCAATTTAGATCTCTTAACTGCAATATACTTTGTATATGCGAGGGCATGGTCAGTTTATAAAGGTGACCTCACATTATGAGCAGATGATTCACACGCTTTATTTACCAATGTTGTGTTTTCTAAATATATACATGGACATCACATGGTTTTTATCTACATCAATACCCTTTGATTCTTCTCCTCCCTAATCATTCATCCTTTGATGAATGTTGTCCATTTGATGAAGTACGGCTTGTTGCTAATTAGAGACTAATGAATGATGTACATGGCATTTCCTCCCAGAATCAATTCTATTGAATTATCATTACTGATTGTGGACCTAATTACAATATATTGAACTAACTCTATCTGTATACTGACCAGACCATCCAATAAAATTGCTCTATATGATTTTGTTTCCCTTTGAGAAAAATATGGTCAAAAGTTTCTCTTAAGAATTAAGCCAATTGAATGCAATGGGTAGCTTTAATAGCTTTTCCAAAACTTATATAAAAAAAAATGTATATCATTATTGAATGACTCTGCAATCTTTCTCTGGGAAATTCAAATAAGAATTGAAGTATTTGGCTCTCTGAAGTTGTGCTATATCACAGAGCAAAACAATTCTAAACTGTGTGGGTTGAGCTGCATATATCACTTGTCAATATTATGTAAATTTAGAGCTAATTGCATATGACCTTGTCAAAATACAGGGTAACATATTCACAAACATCAGCCATTCAGGGTATAAATCTGGATCTGATTCCCAAAGGCCTAAAGCCTTGTCCAAATGAAGGTCAACAAACTTCTGTTATATTCATGGGGAACTCTTTGTTCAATAAGCTCTACTAGACATTTGGAATAATCGCCAAAAAGGAAATATCTTAATATTTACAATGTTAAAGCATATTTGCCGAATCTGCAAGTTTTGATATCTTAACATGCATGGTTAGCTTTCTATAAAACATAGAGTATAATCACAGTCCTTGAAAAACATGGTAATTAAGTTGAATTATTTCCGTTCTTTTACAATAACAGGATGCATCTAGACTTAATTAAATAGATCTAACTGCTATTACAGCAACTTATAGCATTTGGTGTTTGTGTTAGAAAGATTTATTTATTTTATCAGAATTTGATTTTAACCTTGACCAATAGCCAATGATAATTACATAAGATTGTAGAATTTTACAAATGTGATTGAACAGAACATAGATTGCAGTATATTGATGTGTTGTACCAGAGTTTTCAACCAAAAAACCGGGGTCTTAAAAATGATAATAAATCAAAGATAGGACATTTATTTGAATGAATGCGATCATTCTTCACCACTTACCACTGTTTATGTGACATGGAAATCAGTGGAATACTCTTGGACTAAGAATAGGCTGGGATATAATCTTGTACTTAATGAATCACTAATAAATAGTCTTACATCACCCCCAACATTCTCTTATACAGGCTGGCTAGGAAAATATCAGACAATAGACTTGTAGAAAGAGCGGAGACTTGGTACCAGACTAAGTTTATGCAAAATATCATTACTCACCAGAGGTAAAGTTTAATAGAAGACCAGAAATATCTCCTCTTGTTTCCCAAGCTGACCATAACACCAGCTGAAACACCAAGATCACCCATTGTCCCAATCTGTCTTTATAACACTATCCTATAACACTATCCTTACACTGAATTACCCTGATCAGTAGATGATATGGTCTTTAGGTAAAGATCCTTAATTCTGAGAATCTTAGATATCCCTGAATATTCCTTAGAACCCTTCACTTATCTTCATTCACCTATGTTCTTCAAGATCATATGATTAGTATGAACTAATATAGAATATGTTTAGGCTATTTGTGAATCCCAATCAGCAGCAGATGGTTTCTTTAGTTTCTAGTTTTGTTTTTTTGCCTTTGTGTTGAAATGAGTTTCTTCGCAAAAGACATTCACTGATCGGATGTGAAGCAATTTTGCAGATCGATCGCATATGACGGTGTGTGAGTCATAAAAGGACTCCAACTAATAGCATGTGATCCTCGTACATCAGTATTGTACCAACGTTTGATAAAACTTTAATTACTATCTCTGATGATAAACATGTTTACCA